ATATTGATGGGCTCATGGGCCTAGTAAGAGGACGTGAGGCCCATTAAGAGATGTGGGTCTATGAGCTGGTGGTAAACATGGGAGCCACTGGAGAGATGGCGGTCGAGGTGTTACAAGTAGTATCAGAACTGAACCCAGACAAGTGTTAAATCAAGTGGGCTTACACTGTTACGGGGTGACGGTCGTTATGGGCGACGAGGACGTTGCGATCTGTTAGTGGGGGAGAACTGTGAGACCCTAGTGTGCGGAGAGGTTTAAATGAATTGATTTGGCCACCTATGTTACCAAAGTGCACTTATATTTTCGGTCAAAGATCCTGAGATAACTCCACAAATAAGCGTGCTTATGCTGGAGTAATCAAAGGATGGGTGACCTTCCGGGAAGTGATTTTCGGAAGTATTTATTTTAGTAATTTTTAAACAACAAAAGAAAATCTGAAAATAAGAAAAAAAAACTCCCCTTTCTTAAAAAAATATAGAAAAAACCTAAGAACTTAGAGAATTTTGGAAAAACCAAAAGCTGGTTGTAGTTTCAAAGTTTAAAGAAGATTTTTTTTATTACTCAAATATTAAAAATAAAATAAATAAATATTTTCGGGTCATATGGTAGGACAGGTTTTACAGTTTGATCCACCTAAATATGTAAAATATCTTAGTCTAATGAGACTTGTTGTATAAGGTGTATTGCTTTAACACATCTACAATAATTATATCCATATAAAACTATATATTACGAAACATTCTATATTATTACTGTGCGGCATAATGGAACTGAGAACTATATTCACCATATGTTTGAATGTTATCAGATATAATTTGTATGTTTATATCCATTTTGACAATTCTTTTTTTTTTGTCATCAACCAGTTTGACAATTCACGAGTTTAATAAAACTAACTAATATTAAATTTTCAACTATGTTAATTATAATATGACAAAACTTATATATTACCCAGAGATAAATATAATTATGAAATTAAAATTAATAACTAAAATACAAAATGAAAAAATTCTCGCGGTACACCGCGGGATACAATTAGGTATATTCAATAAAAGATCAAATGTAAATATATGACACATGGTTTATACTAAAAGAATACTTATATAAAAATAACCAACAAATTATAATGATATACAAATGTTTTAATATAGAATTGTCTATAGAAAAAAAAAATGAAGGTGAATATTAGTTTCTTAGTATATTATTAAGAATTTATATTCTTATGCATAACTATACTATTTTCACACTTATATTTAACCAACCCATCCATATACTACCCACACACCCCCGAATTGAACACACTTATAATTATGTTGTAAATATAAATACAAAAAATATAATTAATAACTACAATTAGTCAAACAAATTTATTGTAAATTTTAACACAAAGGAACGCACGAAAAATATGTAATCAATATCAACTACTTAATCGATAACTATATATTATAAAATATCAAATAAAAAAGGTAAAATTGGAAAAACATTTACAAAAATAAAGACCCGCGGTATACCGCGGGTTCAAACCTAGCAACTATTAAAGCTTATGTACTAATCATTCTCTATTGGTAATTAAAATTGTAATGTTATACTGTGTATTGTGAGTCTGTGATTATAAACTTGTAATCGTAGCATATATATTGGTATGTAATGACAATCTTGTTCAAATTTTCTATTTGTCTATTTGTCTTTGAATTCTCTAATCCTGTTCAAAACAATCGAAATAGAAATAAATTTGGGTTTTTGTTCTTTTCATAATGATAAATAAATCATGTAACCAAACTGAAAAAGTCCAACAACCAAAGCCCAAATCATGTAATCATGTAATCTTTAGTTAAGTTTTATTGGTGACTAGTTTAGTACCCGTCCGATGGACGGGTTATTTTAATTTAAAATTAAAATTTATTATAATTTATAAAAAATTAATTTTCCAAAATTTTTTTTTGTAAATATAAGAGAAATTAATTTCATTTGGAAAGAGATTTTATTTGGTTTGAAGTATCAAATAAACGTGTATATATATATATATATCTCTTAAAATATATATATATATATCTTAAAATTCGTTATTAGTTAATTATAAAAATATAGTAATGTCAAATTGACAATCAACAAAACATTTGGGAGCTATTTGGGAGCTATTCACCATTACTCATAATATTGCTAAAATATTTTTTAAAAATCTTAATTTAGCAATTATCCTCTAAAACATGATTATACCATTTTGTAAAAATTTTTATTTCTTAACTTTAAATTTTCAAAAAATCATTCACAGACTATGAAAATTAATTAATTATTATTTAATATGATGGTAAAGTTCTTTCAAATTAACATCAATCTAAAATATGATTTTAAATACAAATATAGTCATTTATAAATAAATTCATATAAACAACGCAAATAAATAAACATAAAGATTCTAAAATAAATTATAGCATCGTTGAGGAAAACATTAAAAATCTTTCAAATACGAATTATAAAAAACTACATATTTTCTTTTAAAATATTTTAAAATTACTATATTACGATTTATATTGAACTTTGTTATCTTTAATTTAAGCTAAAAATATTATTTTCAAAAATCTTTTATTCGCCCTTATGTTTATTCACCCTTATGTTTTAGACAATGAAATTGCTCAATGGCATAATACATTCATACATAAATTAAAAATTAAACAAATATAACATATTATAAATAAAAATCATGAATAAAATTATGTATTTAGTTAAACTCAAAATCTAATTATTTGTAAACTGTAAATCCTAATTCTCCTTTATGAACCCAGACGGATAAATAACCTTGTTTAATTGTAAAACCTAAATCTCACTCTTCTTTAATAAACCCAAACCGGTAAATAATCTCGTTTAATTATAAAATCTAAACTATAATGCAGATTTATAAACTCAACATATAACCTTTATAATTGTAAAACCTACAACTGGCAAAACCAAAAATTAGGTTAATAGTTGAAAGATAATTTTTGAGAAATACCCCTTTTGGTGTACCCCTTTTTAAAAATACACCAATTTTCTATCCATTTTAAAAATATCCCTTCTCAAATATGAAAATTGTAAACTTCTATATAGTTTATAAGGTACATTGTGATCATCATTACTATTGGGAGACTCAATACAAGTATTTATAAAGTTTTAAAAATGTTCTAAACGGCATTTATAAGACTTTTATAAGGTTTTTATAAGGTTTAAAAAGTTTTAATATGTTTTTTAAATAATTTTTAAAACGTTTTTAAAAGATATTTATATGGTATTTAAATTTACACACATAGAAAGATAATTTGTGTCTAAATATATAAGCTTACACATTTTTTTTTATAAATATTAATTTTTTTACTTTTAATTAACAAAAATACCCTTTTTCCATACCACTTTTTTAAAATACCCCTATTTCAAACTTAAAAAAAAAGCTCTTTAAATGTTGAAATTTATCCATATAATCTCGTTTAATTGTTTAATTGTTAGTAAATTTAAAAACCAGGTTTCGACATATAATCTCGTTTAATTGTTAAACTTAAACCATAATTTTAATTTATAAAGATAAATCATTTATCATTTATATACCCAGACCAACAAATAACCTGATTTAATTGTAAAATTAAAGTTTAAACCTTAATTTTCTTCTGTAAACAAAAACCGCCATATATTCTTGTTAAATTATAAATTTTAAATCCCTATCTTATTAATAAACCAAATTGACATAACTGAAATTAGGTTATTTGTTTAATTTTATTAATAATTTTTAATATATAATTCTTTATAATAATTATTTTATATATTTCCTTTTTCGATAGGATTAATAATATTTCTATTTTATCCAAATATTAACAAAATTAGTTACGCCACGTGTCAACATCTTATCGTTTATAATTGACACGTGTCACGATCTTGTTAATGGCTGACTTTGAAAACCAAAGTTTATATAATAAGATATTATAAACTTGTAAACTTGTATAATCGTAGCATATGTATTCAGTTTAATCCAACAGCTATTTCCAACAATCGAAATTTTGAAAACCAATTAATCAACCCAAAATATTTTAAAATAGATATTTCAAGGAAATCACCACATATTAGATTTGTACATGTATGTTATACTATCATTTGAAAATGGAAATATATCTCAATGTAATTGAATATGTGACATATGTTTCCTTTATGTCAATATTTTTATATTACAATATCTGTAGTTCTTATCAATATATATATATACAATTATGTTTAAAATTTTGACACATGTTATATAAATTATTTTAATTAATTACACAGAAATTTATTGAGGTATTGTCAAAAAGTAAAAATATAAATGTCAAAACAATTCAATGCATTTGGCTGTTTTATAGAAACTCATATCTTTGCTGGTGTTTTCTAATTTAAATTTGTCATTAAGAAAATAAATAAATAACATAAAAAAAAGAAATGTTACTTTCTACTTTTCAAAAAAGTAATGTTATAACTTATAACATAACAAAGATTTATTGGCTCATAATTTCAGCTAACAATTTGTTTCTTCTGAAATGGACTTTTTAAGATATATTAAGAAAATCTTTTTTGTTAAGTATGTATATCTAATATTTATCTATCTTTCTATAAAGTTTTATTACATAAATGATTTAAGTTTATTTAATTTGAAACTGTATTTTAAGAAAATAGTTTGAAAAAGCGCGTGTATATCATTAACAATCAAGTTTTTTGAAAAAGCGCGCCCATTATCTTCTTCTCAAAGTACAAATCTAAACCTATGATATCTTTAATCTAAACTCAATGAAAAGTAGTTAATAAGAAAAGCTAAACAAAGGTTAACACAGTTTAATGATTAAAAAGTAACATCACCAAAAAAATCAACCTTTTCATAACCATATAAATAGATAACTCTCTAATATGTTAAAACCCATAAAAACCATTTTCTCTCTGTATCTCATTTTTTATTATCACCACATTTTCATAATGGATTCAGCTAAAAAACCAAATTCCTTAACGAACTTACCTCTCTGTCTCTTGGTTATGATCATCTCGAAGTTACCTTTCAAAGAATCAGTACGAACAAGTGTTCTTTCTAAGCAATGGAGGTATCTTTTTCGCGAAACAACAAGCCTTGTTTTCAAAGAATCCGAGTTCATGACACAACCTGTTTTCAATAGAAAAACAGTAGAACCCACAAGGGTTGATACGTTATTGTTTGTTCGTGTTATGCGTGAATGTGTCTCAAGGTTCACTGGTAAAGTCATCGAAAATTTCGAACTTCATCTCTCCCAACCGATAGGATTCGAGGAAGATATCATGTCTCTCACCAAATTCGCTGCCTCCCGACAAGTCAAGAACTTAGTTCTTGATTTCTCAAACCCTACCCAAGAAAACATAAGTCTAGCCTTGCAGGCTCGAAGAGATCGTGCATCCAGATGCATATATCCTCGGAAGAACGAATTGGATGTTTCCCATCTCTTCTTCAATTTCTTATATGTTAGGGATTTAACAGTCTGCTCATTTCTCCTCCAGGTAAAACTAGTTTTTCATTGTTTTCTCATACGTACCAACATTAACATTTCACTAGAACATTCATTTAGGGAACATTGTATCAATTGTGACAAAGATTATATATCCTTTATAACATGCTAAATTGTTTTTCTTTTTGCTTGGAAGAAGATGCTCAAAGATTGTGACGATCCTATGGCTTTGCACGATCCGTTGAAGACTAGACATTTAGTGATGAAAACAAATTTGCACACAAATGACTTCATGGGAATGAGTATATTTCTCAAGAGCTGTCCGGAACTGGAATCTCTAACCTTCGATATACTCACTACTCGTTTAGCGGTAAGTTGTTTATTTCATATCTAACATGGAGTAATCAATAGTCTTTATTACAATATATATTGTCAAGATCTTTTTATATGGTAAAACGCTAAAATTTAACTGGATTTTGCAGAGAGCTCCTTCGCCATTAGTTATAGATCCTGCAAAGTATTGGATTACTAGCAATGCTTATGAGTGTTTGGAAAAAACTCTTAAGGTTGTGAAGGTTAAGAACTTTCGTGGCAGGTCGAACGAGTTACATGTGCTTCAGTACCTTATTCGTACTGGTCGTGTGATGGAACGGCTTGACCTTTATGAGGCAAAAGGATTGAATCATAAACAAAAGAGTTCGGTATTGGCTAGCGTTGAGGAGGTTCAACAGAATTTCAAGAGAGCTTCGAGGAATTTACAAATTACTTTACACAATGCTTGATTGAAGCATTGTTGAGTATTATTTCCATCTGAACAATGTACTCGTCTAGTGATCCTTTCGAGTTTGCTTTATTTCATAATAAGGGTGTGTGTTTAGGTGTTCATTTGGATATGTTGGTTGAGTAGTTTAATTATTAAGCTTTTATTTTCCTAGTTTTCTAAATTTGAAAAACAATTCATCATTTACTATATAACTCAGATGATCATAACAAATGTCAAGTCTCCGCTAAAATTTTGACAAGTGTTCCTACAAGTTGGCTGATTTGAGTCAATTTCTATATAATTGTTGACAAAAAAATTTGTTTTGACAAGTGTAAAAAACTTCCAACCAATTAAATGTTGACATTATGTTAACATAAATATGGGACATTTCAAATCTAATATATATTTAGATTAAAAAGGTAAGGAAATATAAAATGTCATTTTCATTAAACTAATCTTTAAAGAATAAAGAAAATCAATAAATGAGAAGAAAGGGAAAAAAGGAAAAACAAAAGCAAATTACATTTATTATTTGATTAAAAAAGAATCAAAATATAATAAAAAGTAAATCTTATTTTTCAAATTAAAAAAAACAAAAATTAAATTCATAAAAGTTTCACAACAAGAGCTATTCATATTTAAAGATAAGAAACATTAACTACAAAAAGAAAGGAAAATCAAAACTAGTTTTTTCTTATAGCAAATTAGAAAAGAAAATATGAAATTTTATATGATTTTTAACAAATAAATATTATTCAACCAAAAAAATAATTTTTAATCTTTAATGTGTCAGTTAGTCAACGGTTTATCTGAAATGGATAACGAATGAATTTAAAGAAAGAAAAAAGAAGAAAAAAGAAAAAGAAACCTTTTTGTCAAATTGGAAAAGAAAAAAAATATATATTATATTAAAATTGTAAGATTTGACATGTGTAAAATTAAATAATTGGAAACATTATGAGAAAAACATATTTCAAAATATATAAATCTTGGTTTTAAAAGATACTAACTTACATGATTACGACACGTGTTAATCTCTCGATTAGAGATTTTGACAAGTCTCAGAATAAAACAAAATTATATAAATATGAAAATTAAATATTTTTTTTTAAAATGTTAAGGATTATTATAAGGAAATTATACAATATCTTACTAATTCTTAAAGACAAATATTATTTTAATAACTAATCAATTATAATTATTGTAAAAATATTACACTTGTAATAATGAATCAATATTACTCCCTCAATTTCTTTATTATTTGATGTTGTACCCCAAAAAATTTATTCTATTTTAAGTGATGTTTTCAATTTTCCATGCAAAAATTACATATTTTCAATACTTTTTGAGCAATCATATATTACATCATATTTTTTAATTGGTTGATATCATTTTAATTAATTATGTTTTAATGGAAATTAGAGAAATTTTATGTTTTTTTAATTTGTGTGTAAGAACAATATCGAAGTTTGATTTTAAAGTTTTTTCTTATATCAACATTGGTATTTAGAAACCATATAGTATGATTAATTCAGTGAATAACCAGATAAGTATGTCTATATGCTGACATATGATCTATTCTTTAAAATAGTACTTAGTTATGATTAAATCCTTTTTTCTTTGCAAATGACATTTTCTGTGTTGATTATTGAATTTAATAGCTCAACAAAAAAGTTTGATTACTTAAAATTTTGATTTCTTCGAATTATAAAATATTAATTTCATTTTGTGATCGAGAACATGTTCTACTCTAATCATAGAAGTTACAACAAGATGATCAATTGGTATGACTCTAAAGAAAGATTATGGAAAACTATGACATGATTACAAACAAATATAAATACAAGAAAGATCAACACTCTTAAGATTGCTCACAAAATAGACAATTACAATACTTAGTACTCCTACATATCAAAAACTCAAAGAGTCATTTACAATATATTATCACACAATGTGGAAACAACAACAAAAAAAAAGCTCTCCACTCAGAACCTTACACATGAGATCATCCTCAAGAAAAAAAAAAAAAAAAACAAAAAGAAAAATATAGAAGGAGGATACTACAAAAAAACCTGCATCCATGACTTTTGATAAATAGTTAAAAATAAAATATTAGGATTTTCATATTTAGTGAAGGAAAAAAAAAATTGATTGTTGATGTGTGGTGTTGTATGAAATCAAAATCTTCACTTGTAGTCAAAAGTAGAAGTCACCACTTTCCAGGTCTCTTCCACATTTGAATCCCTTCACACCTGTGTGTAAGATATAAGACTTTTGTTAATTACCAATTCAACTTACCTAAAAACACATTGTTCAACCAAAGACTCCACATTATATTAAAAACCTTAAACATTATATAATTCATATTGCCTCACATGAGTACATAATACATGTGGTGACAAGTCAATGAATCTAGATACCATTTTCTTATTAATTAATCATGTTAATTAAGTCTAATCCTGGACAAAATACTCGAACCGAACCGAACTGAAACAACAAAATAACCGAATGATTCCTAAATTTTATAATCGAAAAACCATAACCAACCCATACTTAAAATTAATTTGAATCTATATCAATCTTAATGCAACAATATATAAATTTAAATTTTTTGAAAAATATCCGCGCTAATTTATAAAATAAGATATGGTAAAACATTGGTTGTCCACACTAATTTATCCGCTAATTTATAAAATAAGATGCGGTAAAACATGATTCTCCGCGCTAATTTATCCGCTAATATAAAATTTAATTATCCAAAAAAAAATATATGTAAACTTCATAAACACTAGGGGACCTCTTAAATTATGAAATATCTTCCCAACTGTATTTTCATTTTCCTAATCAATTAAATTCTCTATTAACAAAAAAAAAAAGTTTTGTGACACAAAGAAAAAGACATGAAATTTTTGGTCCTACTCGTATAACAAGGACAATTTAGTCTTTTCATATATAAATTGCCAAATTACGAAAACGCCACGCACCTTTAGTGATCTTTCCAAGCTCTAGTGAAGATACTCTTAAGCCTATTACCGGCGGCGAGTCTCTGTAACGCTTTCTTAGCACCGGAAACTTCCATCTCCTCCAGAGATTGAAGATACCGATCAGCTCCTAAACTCATCAACCTCGTCCTCGCCGCGTAACTTCCGCCGGATAAAACCGCCGTAACAACCATCACCGGAAGCTCTTTATTCCCCATCCTCTCGTTCCTCGGATCTAACATCTGCACCAATCGAATCACACTCTTCTCGTCTTTAATCAACTCTTTCCGATTCGATCTAACCGTCAACAACGACTTCACCGCTTCCGTCGCCGCTTCTTGTAACCCCGCCGGTTTCGGCGATTCCATTAACCTAATCAACGAGGTTAAACAATCGGCGACGGCTCTTTTGTTTCCGTCGCTAATCGTAAGTTTCGATAGAAGCGATGATGAGATCTGTTGAAGAATCACGTTTCCGTGTTTTATCAATTCGCTTAATCTGATTATAAACGTTGTTGATGATGATAAGACCTTGGAAACCGTATCCATGGCGGAGATCTGAGTAAGAGAAAGCAAAGCGTGTTCGATTGTATCGGGATTTGATGATTCCTGAACTAAACGAATCAGAATCTGTAATCCTCTTTCTCTAACAATCAAATCTCTGAAATACTCACCGGAAGATGAGATTAACGAGATGAAGCTCGCCGTCTTCTCTTGTGTTGATGTTGAAGATGAGATTAAGAGTGGGAGAAGAACCGTAACAGCTCCTTCTTCAGCTAGATTTGTTCTGATTTCTTCAACGGCGGCGATGTTGCTTATAGCTCCGGCGATGTGTTCTTGTACTTCGTTAGATCCTGATCTAACAGCTTCGATTAAGATTGTTACTCCGCCGTAAGCTGAGATACCCCAAGCGGTTTCTGGATCGGTGGTTATAGCTTCAATCGCAACGGCGGCTCTTGTTTTCAACGGTGGAGATCCGGTTTCGAGTAGTCTTAGTAACGGACCTAATCCGCCTTCTTCGAACACCGTCTTTCTCGAATCGACGCTTGATGAAGTTAGTAACGATACGGCGGCGAGTGCATGTTCACGAATCAAGGGATGATGATGGAGATCAAGGAGAGTTACTAAGTAACCAACGTTACCTTCTTTAGCAATGATTCTTGAGTTTTTTTCATTATCTGTAAGTAGCTGAAGAAGAGATTCTAAAGACTTTTTCTTGAATTCAGCTCCACCGATTTGGAGACGAGTGAAGAGATCTTTGATGAAGAAAGCAATGTCATCTTTATCAGAGGAAGGAGGTGGGAGTGATAAAACGATAGCGTTTTGTTGGTGAAGGACACCAGATCTGAGGAGGAGGTCAAGGTCACTTATATGAGTTGAAAGAGAAGATGAAGCAATGTCTAAGTCACTTTGCATGAGGAGTTTACCACCGGAGAATGAAGCGGAGGAGCATTGGTCGGAGAGAGAAGTGAGACGTTGGAGATTGGAGAGGAGTGAAGGGAGAAGAGTGTGGAGGAGAGGGTTTTGTGACCAATGAGGTGAGTCTGATAAAGAAGAGAGAGATGTGGTTAAAGAGAAGAGTTTAGATCGGAGGATTTGCCACCGTCCGATGAAAGAACGGACGGTGAGTGAAGAGAGGAGGAGAAGAGAGAGGACGTTTGTGATTAAGTCAAGAAGTGGTTGGAGTGGAGCGGTTGCAGTTTGTGGTTTTGTTAGTTCGCCGGAGACGGCGGCGGAGGAGTGATGCATGGAGGGAGGGGAGTGAAGTTACATGAAGAAAGAGAGAGAGAGGAGAAAGGGTTTTGTTTTGCCTTATAGAGAAAGGTAAAGCTTCTCTCTTTCTCTCTTTTGTCTATGTTTTGCTTTTGTTGATGTGTACTTTGATGAACAAAGACATCAAATCTCTATTGATGCCATAATTTGTGTCAGTCTTTTAAGCTTATGGTTTGGTGTGTGTTTTTTTTTTTTTGTTACAGCGGTGAATGAGTCAAACAAGCGTAATATACGGAACACGGAGGAATTATATAACAAACTGAATAAGAATGTACTAGTGACTCGAGTTTATGTTAGCCTTAAAAAAAAAAAAAATGTATTTTTTATGTGTTTATAAGTTTGGTCAAATTTAATTTTGTAATTGTTTTTTTTTTCGTTTGTTTTATTTGTATTGTTGGGTTTTGCTTGGTTTGTATTTCGTTTGGGCCTCAGAAAGAAGGATTTCATTTTAATAATTTGGTAGCCCAAATGTTTAAGTTTTATAATCGAATCTAATATATATATATATAAAGTTAGCTTTTTCTCTCTTCTCATGATGCCACCTAAACATCCACATAAGCCACATTTTTTATATTAAAATAAATTTAAAATATTCATTTAGTGCATATTTATGCTACTTATTTAATTAATAGAAAATTAATATATATTAAAATAAATTATGTAAATAAATGAAATGTTAAATAAGAAATACTTTCATTTTTTATTAGTTAGTGGTATTAATATAATTCAACTTTCATTTTAAATTGATGATAGTTTAAAATTTTTAATGTGTTACTGAGTTTAAGAATGTAAGTAAATTTTAAATTTATGCTAGAATAAAAACAACATTTATGTAATTGTATATATAAAATTTTTTAAAGGGAAAAAATAAAATTGAAATTGAAATATTAGTTTATAACATGATCAATAAGAAAATGTTTTTAATCCAAACTTAAATATTGAAAGATAATAATTCAAGAGAACATAACTATAATATGTTTTGAAAATCAATTAAAAATAAATAAAATATCACAATATGAATAAAAAGTTAACAAAAAAATTATAAACCTGCGCGGGTCAACTGCTAGTTAGTTATATAGTTGTCTTTGTCTTTCATTACTCATTAATTTATTCTTTATTTTCTTGTTTTACTCTCAAGTGTCCGGTTGTAGTGAATGAAATTGTCGAATAAACCAAACGTAAATCAATCGTCAGAAAATGAAAAAAAAAAAAAAAAAAATTGTCAGATTTCTGGGTTTGAAGAGTCGAAGGAGATTAAATTGGTCGACTCTATAAGTGTTGTGTAATCCAATTAGAGTGTCAGAGTAAGTCATGTTTTCTACAATAAAACTCATAAATCGAAACCCATAAATCATTGTATTGCTTTTCTTGGTTTAATCGACCTATCTATGTATAATTGAGCTGTTATTTTTTGTATTTTAAATTTTAATGAATTAATTCTCATTAAGATTTAATTATTCCATTTATTTTGATTAACTTTTAAATTTTTTTAAATCCCGTATTATGTATCATCACATAAAGTTTATATAATTATCCTAAATAAATATTAAATTATGAATTAGGTTAACTAACAATTAAAAAAACTTGGCAAAAATAATAATAAAACGCATAAATTCACCATATGTTTTAGTAGTAAAAGAGAGAAAGCAATGTTTCAATAAGTAGGAAGACAACAAATAAATCAGAATAATCAAAGTCTTCATCATCAACATATGATAGACATACTTGGGCAGCCTTGACCTCTTGGATTATAGCTAATGACAATCTTCTAATTGTCGTATTCATCATCATTGTTCGTGCTGAAGACCAAACTATTTAAAACAAAAACCATTGCCAAGTTAAACTTATGGTAGTGTTTCAAACTATAAATATTTATACACAAATTATAAATTATGATAACATACTGGTTTTTGAAATCAACAACTTCAGTAGATGGTGGATCAAACTGAATTGTTGAAACGCCTGAAACACTTAGCAGATCCATTTTTTTCTGTAAGAATTGAAAATAAATGAGTCACACTATGAAGATTAGTCAGCCTAATGAATAAGTAGATTAATATACCTCCATCTTTGTACTTTGCTCTCCAAAAACGTAACACAGCTATCATTGGTTTGCTACCAGAATGCCTCCAATTAGCATCAAAAAAATCATCATGTTCATTGTAAACGACACACTGAATCTCATGTCCCCTTAAAAACATATATGTTTTAAGTAACTCATGTATAAAAATGGTTCATTAAAATTATACAACAAACAAAAGAGAGGAATTATATAACAAACTGAATAAGAATGAATGTTTTAGAATGTATCATTGTAGTTACATACATTGCAAAAAGTCTATCTACGGTTAAATCTGGAAAATTATTACTTTTAGTTTGATTGTTTCAGTTCAAAGTATTTCACCATTAACTTTCTATAAATTAATCTTTCAACAAATTAAATAATTTCTAAATTAATATATAGTTCATCTGTTTCACAATGAGAGTCATTCTAGAGATATTTTCTTGTTTTACAAAGAGTATCACTCTACATTCCACTGTTTTACAAAGAGGGCCATTCTACAATTTCAATGTAACTTTTACATCAAATTTCTTAATTTACCTCTAAACTCAAAAGTCAATTTTACTGAATTTAAATCATTAATCCCTTATTAAATAGGAGTACACATGTATAATTATATATTTTCTTAATATGTGTGAATTGTCAATGAATGTTTTAAAATGATACTTTTTATGAAACAGAAAATAGTTAATCAGTTATCTAATACTTCAACAAATTAATTTATTTATTGAATCCCAGACTGAATAAATATTGTAATCGATCTTCAACTCAAAAACTGGTATGGAACCATGATGATTAGTTATGTAAAAATAATTATATATTAAAAATTCTAAGTTATTTAAAGACTGAATAAATAAAAATTACTTGAATAACTTAAAAAAATATACAAAAGAAAATACCCGAAACATCTAAAAAATATCTTAAATAACTGAACAAATAAACAAAACAGAAATGAAGCAAAAAAAATACTGAAAAATACCCAAAATACTTGAAAATGTTTTTGATTGTTCTGGTATTTTAGAAACATAACATGAACCTACCCAAACCAAATGGTAGAAGAACCCTCACACCGGACTTCATTAATGGTAGGAGGCCTACCTCTTGGACCGTCAGATGCGCCATGTCTGGTAGAGACGTCATGACCGATTATTTCTTTTGGGTGATGCTTTCCCAAACCGGAAAGATTTCACATATTTTGGAGCTTCGCCATAGTCCCGGACCATTGTCAACGTCTGCTTCCGCTGATCTTGCTCCGACCAGAGATGATCCTGCTTTGCATATGTTGCTTCAGAACTCAATCATCCGCCGCCAACTTGGCCAGCACAAAAAAATATATACAAAGTTCCCACTGGTGTCCTTATCCCAAGTCTCGATCCAAAAAACTTATAGAAAACCTAGAAAACTCCAGCCTATAAAAAGTGCTAAAAAGGCTATATACTAATAAATCCAGGTTTGTTACAATAACTCTTTTGTCAAGCTTAAAGCAACCAAATGAGAAGGAATTCACAATCGGTGCTATGGCTTTACATTCATCTTATGTGTATCTTGGTAGTAGATAAATGTATGATTTTAAAGTATGACTACAAACACTTGAAAATTGTGGTCTTCTATTCTTAAATCTAATTTCTGAGAACTTTTTGAGTAATGTAAGTTATATGGCCATTAAACACTCTCCAACAATCCCAATTGGAGACTTCAAGCAATGTACAATCATTACCGCTTCCATTATCCGAGTAATAATATATATATGAAATTATGTTCTTTGCTTTCTCTTCTTAACGATTGTCTGTGAAGTTTGATAATTTCACTCATGCAAAATTTACAACATTTTTGTCTTAATTTTTTTATTGTGTTGTCATAGAACTGATAACTCTATGTTGAGATCAACGTTTTTTTTTTTTTTAATTAGTGATTATGTTGGTTATACTCTTCAAATAAAATTTCATGAGTAAACACTTATGAAATATATTTGTAGAGTATTCTAAGATATTATTGTCAATTATTGAGTGTTGATAAACAACATGCATATAAATTGATAAACAACATACACATAGATATTGATGAAAAATAGAATCCAGTCGAATTGTTTGATTTTTCCATGATGTAAAAAGTGAAAGACAAGAAATGATATTTGTTGTTTATATAGAGATCAACATCTTCCTTAAATTTAGAGATTACTTTTTGTTATATGTTATGAAAGAAAGGGGTAATATTCAAATCATGGGATGCCTTAAATTTAGAGATTACTAATGAAGAATCGTTTCTTTTGGACCAAACTAATGAAGATTCTATGATTTCTTTCTCCATAAATGAACAAAAAGTTACTTTGAATTTTACCATTTATGGCATTTTGTTTTGGGAAAAACAGTCGTTGACATGTTGTTTCATATGTCTATTGAAATCGATTTTGGTGCTAACAAATATATATATACTGAATTGAACTCATATTAATTTATCTTACATAAAAAAAAAAAAAATTGATTACATTATTGTTTAACTGATCTCTAGGTATTGTGACTATCAAGTAACATGTTTTGATGATAGTTAAATCTTAAACAAAAATTTCAACAAATCATCAGAAAACATATTTATATTGTAGATTATTAAGTGTCGTCAAACAACTAACAAAGAAACTGATGAAAATTAAATTCCAAATGATTTTTTCCATTTTCTAAGTTGTGAAAGGTTGAAGAGAATAACTAGGCAAAGATCAATTTCTTTTATAAAATTAGCGATTACATTTGGTTATACATTAGAAAATTAAAAGGGAAGCAATAACTATACCAAATTACAATCCTCCTTTTATAAGTATGTATTTTTGGAATTATTTCTACATTTTTGTGCTAAATCGCACTAAATAAAAGTCTTGCATTAGGAAATTAGCGATTATATTTGGTTATACATTAGGAAATCAAAAAGGAAGCAATAACTATACCAAAATACAATCCTCCTTTTATAAGTACGTATTTTTGGAATTATATCTACAATTTTTGTGCTAAATCACACTACAAAAATCTTGCATTACATAACCAAAATAAAAATATCGAAGTACTTTTTATTTCATTAGTTGATTTGTATGGCTCTATTAAGGAGTGTGTTTTGATGACATAGTTTCTCTAGGTTTCATTATAAAAGATAAAATTAACTAAATATTGTAAAAACGAAATGTCACAATATCAATAGAGCAAATTGCTAAAAGGTTATTGATTAATGGTTCCTTATTGTATGGATTATTATACTTATACATTTTATTTGGAAAGAGTAAGAGTTGTGAATGATTCCCTCCATCTAATTTGGTAAGTGTTTTTTTTTTTTTTTCCCATTGAATGAAAATGACCAATGAAGTTTGAAATACAGAGGAGAAGAAAATTTAGAAAACAAAGGAAACAAACTTAAAACAGAGCAACCAAGTTAACCGATTAAATCAAAGTGGCCATTCCAGCTTCAATGGCTATCCAAGGTAAGTCGTTCCTGCAGCCACGCCGGCCCGCCTAAGGCTAAGTATGAAGTTAAGCGTCCGTCCCTGGTTACACTGCTCGCGATCTCTCTAACCAAAGAATTAGCTTTTGTAGATGACATGTGAAATGAAATCTCCCCCATACCACATTTTACTTGTATAATCTTGTCGAGCTGAGCTCTATACTTCGGCCATTCCAATGGTGACTCCAAAGCCGCTAAAACCGCGTTGCAATCTCTCCAAACTTCACAAGACAATATATGAAGATCTTTTAAACTCCGAAGGCACCACAAAATGCAGGAAAGCTCAGCCGAGATTCTATTGATATGCGGAACGAAAGCATCCCTTGTGTGAAATAAAGCATTGCCTTCATGATTCCTTATGATCCAAGCACCTCCACAGAAAAAAGAATCCTTCACCCACGAAGCATTGAGATTACATTTGAGTCGACCAAGAACAGGTTTGAACCACCGTGTATCCAAACGATTGCTCTTACACTCAACGCCTTGTGTATCTTGTATCATTACACTCTGTTGATGAAACCAAACCTCAGAGTCTTCCAGAGCTGAGGCAATAAGTATGTTATGATCATTGTTTCTAGCAGAGAAGATAGTAGAGTTCCGGCTTTTCCAAATTCCCCACAGTAACCGCGGTATAGCCTTACGTCTCTGTTCTGGAATTAAAATTTTACCTAACAAATCAAACATATGATCAAGAAACAGTTTTTTTCTGATACGGACAATGGAAACGAGGAAACCTTGTGACATTGCTTTCTCCTCAAGAAATTGATGTTATTTTTTGAAATTAACTAATTAATACAACTATTAATCAATCTAACATCGTTTATTTCTTTCTAGTCTTCTAAATAAAATATATGTGAAATAGTTTTCTAAATTAGAACGTTGCATATGCAACGGTAACTTTGTTAAGAAGTAAGAACTATAGGGGATGCAATAATTAAAAATATTTAACATAACGGTAATATTTTGTTTTACAACATAACTCACATTCTCTTTAACTACGCCTTGCTTTGCTTCTTCATTAATAAAATCAAACCCTAGAATTCTCTTTGTAAAACTCACAAAACACAGTTCTTAATCTATGTTCAGTGAATCGATGGCGTTAGGAATCTATGTTCAGTGAACCGATGGCGTTAGGATTCTCTCTCTCTCTCTCTCTCTCTCTCTCTTTCTCTCTCTCTCTCTCTCTCTCTCTCTCTCTCTCTCTCTCTCTCTCTCTCTCTCCGGTTTCAATGGTTATTTGAAGACTACCTTGGGCTTCACGACTCTCCAATCTCTGACTCAGACCCATGTTCTCAAGTTATATATCTCTGTTTCTTTCTCTCTTTCGTTTTTCTTTGTTGGGATCTTCTTAGGTAAGGTATGACCGAAGACATGATCGTTGCTCTGTTTTGGCTTAATGTTCCAGTTCGGTGTTGGTGGCTTCAGATTGGATGAAGACACAAAAGTTCTTCTTGCTTAAATACAACGACGGTACGGTTCTTGTTCTCTTCTTTTTTATCACATCCTCTTTTTTTACTAAGGTGTTTTCGTTTATAGATATACAAAAATTTTACATTTATTTTTAGAAAACTTTAGTGTTCAATTTATAAGACATGAAAACAAATTAGATCTCGAATCCGGTCCATAGGATCTCATATGGTTTGTTAGATGTGTTGGAGGTTTAACATGTTTTCATGTAATGTAAATTAATACTTAAGTTTGTTTTTTATTTTTCTTAATAAAATTATTATTTGGATTTAGGACTAGTATTCTTTATAGAATCTTATAAAAAAAAATACTTTTTAACTAGATTTTGTAAACATTCATTTAACTAAATTTTGAGGATTTTTATCAAAAAGTGAAGCTTCATTTTGCCGAATTAACTATAGAAATTTTACTCGTTAATTACATTTATACAAAAAAAAACCCAACAAGTTGATCAAGTTTTTTGACAGTCATATTTTTTTAAAAATTTCCTACAATCCTAGAAAATAACAAGACTTGATAACCCTTGAAACTAATATTATGCTTTGCCATAATAAATATGTTGATACACTTCTCTTAACGAGGATACATCTAAATTACCAATCCGTGTCGGTTTATTTTCGGATTGGAATACAAGAAATTGCTTGAAGATCCATCTTAACCGCGGTTCTTCGAAATAAAGTATGAGGTTTCTCTAAACCAATATAATGGCAAAACCAGTTAGCTGACTCCGCCAGCGTGGTTTGTTCTCCACCAGTTTCGCAAACCAAGTTATAATACCCGAGCCAAGCATGGTACGCTTCTTCTTTAATACTTTACCAATATTAGCCATTGACAGATCAACCTTCTCACAAAATAGTTGATCATGTTCGTATCATACTCACAAGCAAGTGTGATTACGATTGCGACTACATTATGAATCATGAATTGTTGTTTTTTACGTAGTTGCGCGACTGGTCGTTGCGACTAATCGTAATTAAAATACTCGCATCGCTGTAACACCCCGACCGTCATCTCACTCAGTGGCTCCACTCTCAGCCCATAGACCCACCTCTTAATGGATTCATATCCGACGGCATGTTTGCTACATGCGGAAGGCTTAAAGACTTGTTACCAGCCCTACAAATCACCACATGATCTTTCCCTGTGTTTTGGCCTCACTCACACAGTTTCGACAAGTGCTTCCCAGATAGTCACCCATACTAGGACTACTCCTGTGTAACCAGCGTACGCATACTTAACTGTGGAGTTCTTCTCTCACCACCCTTGACGGAAAAGATAAGTGCACTTCAGTGACATAGGTGGCTAAATTAATACGTTAAAACCTCTCCGCAAACCAGAGTGTCACAGTCGATGTATTCTCATCTGATAAAAAATTTTAATCCTAGCGATTGCCAAAAAAATAACTTTCTGGCACACTTATTTGTAAGCTTTTTGTGACTGCCAAACAAAACAACACCTATAAAGCTAATTTAGATCAATCAATACAGAAAACAAAGCATTCAAACGCCATAAGGGTATATTAGGAGTTTACTAACTCTGGGCGATTTTTTTTTTTTGTCTGTCTTTGAAGGCAGAGAAAGCTTTCTTCTTGTATATTCTTTCTAACAGATCACAGAACCCAAAAAACTAGAAAACTCTGATTTCAGAAGAATAGTTTTTGGTTTTTGCTTAGTGAAATCTTCGTTGAGAAAAAGATGAGCAGAGGAAGCCACGAATGTCTTTTCTTCGATCGTCACAACACTATATTCTCCCACGAATGTCTTTTCTCTTCCAAGTTCGTCGCTTCTAAGTTACATTAGAACATTAAATTTGAGTTGATATGTTACATTCGATGGTCTTGGTCCTCAGCTTTACATTAGTTATCATTTCAGGAAGTGGAATTGGGAAGACCTCCAACTATTGGTGAAGTTTTCGTCATGACTCATACCAAAAAGGATGGAACTTTTGTTGATAAGAAAGCTCAAGAAGTTCATGAGGCATATAAGAAGAACAAGGAAGCTAAGTTGGTTGCGCTCGAGAATGATGAAACTTCTAACGGGACTTCGCGTAGATTTAAGCAATCTCAAGAAGAGGATGACGAGCTCTTTTTCAGGTTATTTGCTGCTTCTTTATGGTATTGTATGTTTGTTTTATTCTGAAAAATGTGGTGGAACTCGCATTTTAATGGAGCTCGCATTTTAATAGATATCTAATTTATAGAAATTAATTTCTAATTTATTTCTAATTAGACCATTGTTTTTTTACCTAAAAACACTGTTTAACACTTTTCACGCGAATTCATTCGCCCGGGACTATTTTTACACCTCAGAATCTAATTTGATCGACGATGAACATGAACTTCAACTTCAATGGTGTTGCTCAGCCAATCGTTCCTGCCATTCCAGGAGGATTTGCGGTTGGTTTTCTCCCCGGTGGAGGATTCAGTATAGTGATTCCTCCAAATGAAGGTATGACATTGACTCTCACCGCTACTGATGGTGTCGGAGATGATGGTGTGGGTGGCTGATGAAGACGTCAGAGGCGGAGGCGGAGGCATAGGCGGATGCATAGGCGGAGGAGATAATATTGCAGCTGTCTTGGGTAAACATTTTTCAATTACAAATTTCATTATTATTTTTTTGGTAAAGATGGAATATATTTCTGGATAATATATTTATAGAAACTTATCTTCCCAAAAGGTTGTAAATTATTGGATAATATATTTTAAAAGAAAAAAAAAATCTCAATTATTTTCAAATTTTTAATGTAATTGTTTCTTTCTCATTTACTAAAGCTTTTTTAAAAGTTATTTGTAGTTCATATTTTAATTTTCTAAAGACGTTATTTGTAAGTGTTTAATCAATTAGAAAATATCACTTAAGTAATATTAAAATTTTCTGGGGTATGTTAAACTTAACTTCATATAAATTGAAATAATATACTACTTTTAATTACAATATGCTCATTTTCAGTACAATTATTGGGAAACACTTTTAGTTATTTGGAATTTTTTAAAATCTAATTTTCTCTATCATATTGTAATGAATTTTTTTTATTTTTCAAACCTACAAGTACCATTAAGTGAAAGTTAGACCATATCTATTTTTCTTTAATTAATATCTCTATTAAAATTGATTGGATTGTCCTTGATATTAGTGGAAAAATTCATCAACAAAGTGCATTTTGTAGTTACTAATGATTAAAACTTATTATTTTGAAAACCATTAAGAAATGTGTGTTTGTATAATATATATGGTGAAAATAGAATTGTAATAAGTGTTAGGTTATTTTTATCTTATCACAAATATGTAAATGTAGTTGTATGATAGTAATATCTAACATATAAGTTTGACGAAAATAAATAAACTTATACTCTAATTTAAGAAATAATATATTTTCTTTTTCTATTAATCGATACATTGTTAGCTATACAAGAGAATTTGATATTTATGAAAAAATTAATTTCTAAATATGTTTTAAAATTTCTCTCCAATACTCTACATTACATTAGGTTTCAAACTAATGAATTCTCTCTCCAATATATTACATTATGTATTGTTGTTTTGAAGTACATTACAACTTTATTTTTTGAATATTATATTTATTTAACACTTATTTTAATCTTGATGTCATTGGAATTTATTTTTTTAATTAAAATACCGCAATTCAAACTATCTATTATATGTTTAAAAAAAATAAAAATTTGAGAGTTGAGAAATAACACAATTGGTAAGTCTCAATGCTGACATGGAAGTAATTCGAGCACTAGACAATAAGTAGTTTTTGAACTACTTTTTTAATATAGGTATTTGCATTGTGCACAAATTAAAGACATGTCTAATTCATTTTAAAAAAATTATAGCTTGCGTTCTAATAATCCCAGCCAATAATTCAGAAGTTTAAAAACAGAAAAACCTCTATAAATTAATCATCGAGACCGTTAAAATTAATTAGTTTATAGGGGTATTAATTTATTGATAAATTAATAATTTAAATAATAGAGAGATTTTATAATATGGTAATTAAAAAAAATAAACATCAAAATAGATTGTAATCAATATATTTAAATGCAAATACCTATTTTTAAGAAATATCATTAATATTTTTAAGAATCAATTACAAAAAAAAAAAAACAATCATGATGAATGAATAAAACACTATAAAATTTTGATACCTGAAATCTTTTAGAATTGAACTCTAACAAAAATTAATGTAAATTTGAGAATAAATTACAACATAACAGTCATATTTCACTAAATGTTTTACATTTATATAGATATATTTTGATAATTCTATATAGTTATTAATTTATAGTAGTATCGGGACCATATTTATACAAAGGATTTCAAAATAATTATTATCTTATTATTTTATCAAAATGTATCATTAAAAAATTATTAATTTATAGAAATTTATTAATTTATGGAATATTAATTTATAGAGGTTTTACTATGCTCTTTGTAAACAAAATCTAATGAGCGAAGAGGTGTTAACTAGGTTTCAGTTATTGAGGTTCTCTTTGTAAACTAACAAGTTAAACCGATGCTGTGATAGGCGTAGCTCTCATGCTGCTTTGGAACGTTGCCTTTTAGTGAGTTGTGAGTTGTGAGATGAGATCATCAGACATGTATATAGGTTTGTCTAGATGTTGATACTGGAAGTGACTTGACTTGGATCCAATGTGACGCGCCATGTACTAGTTGTGCTAAGGTAAAGATCCATCTTTTAATGTTTTAGGAGAGTCTCTCTTTGGAATTGCTGATGAACATTTTGGTTTTTGGTGGGATTTAAGGAGCAAATCAACTATATATAAGCCTAAAAAAATGATAACTTAGTGGGATCTTCGGAGCCCTTATGTGTAGAACTCCAAAGGGATCAAAAGACAGAACATTTTGAGAGTTCACAACAGTGTGACTACGAGATTGAATATACTGATCATAGCTATTCTCACCAAAGATAAGTTTCATCTCAAAATCCACAACGGATCACTAGCCGAGTCAGATATAGTTCTCACCAAAGATAAGTTTCATCTCTCTGTCTTTCTTTCTTCTTTGTAATTACGTTGTATGGTAGAGTTCATTCCTATCACCGAAGTCATGATCGTTGCTCTGTTTTGACTTATAGTTTCGGTTCGGTATGAAGACACAAAAGGTCTTCTTGATCAATTACGTCGACGGTACTGTTCTCGAGGTAAGTTGGAACGATACTTTCTTCTTTTTTACCTAAGGTTCTTTTACTTTGACACCTTCAGTTAAACAAATGTTTTTATTGAGGTTTTTTTTTTTCACAAATTTGTACCCAATTATAACTGAAAAGCTTTTATTTTTAGAAAACCTAAGTGTTCAATTTTAAAAACGTGAAAACAAATCAGATCTCGCATCCAGTCCATAGGATCTCCTATGGTTTGTTAGAGGTGTTAGAGGTTTAACATGTTTTCAGATCTCTACCAGATCTCTACCAGTTTCTCGAACCGAGTGGTCATACCCGAGCCAAGCATGGTACGCTGCTTCTTTAGTACTTGTACCAATCTTTTTTTTTGGTAAAAGGTTAAATTTACCATTTTTGAAATTTTTGACAGAAATTAAAGAGAAAACTAGAAGCAGATAAAACATGCTGCAGAAAAATAAAAATAAGAAACATCATTACTACTCAAAAATGCTGCAGATTGCAATTGAGTACTCATCGCCAGGTTGCGGGGAGAAACACCGATTCCAAGCTCGCGAAGCTCGGAAATTTGCGTGGTTGCCATAGTTCTGAAGAACTTGAAATCTCATTCTTGTTACTACGACCCGATCTATCTAAGGCTAGCCTTCAAAACCTCGCAATATATAGAAGCCTACAACTTCTCCAAAAACTAACGCAAAAACACATAGGCAACTGCAGACTTCTACACGAGCTCAATGAGGAAGCCACACCACTTAGACCTATCCACGGCCTATATTGAAAATCCGAGACACCTAATTGGAGCACTCAACTGCTCACTTCCACAAATTGAATCGACACCGACAACACCAAGAACAACAAAACTCCACCTTAAGCAAACCAGAGACGACGCGAAGGGGACAAACCAAATGGAGAAGCCATAACCATGGCCGAAGAAGCTACCACCCTCACCTGCACATCAATGGAGGAGAGATGTCGACCACCAAGAAAAAATACCCATGACGCCACTAACCGCAATGAACAAATCACGAGGACTCAAAAACAACCCCTAGATTTGCCTCCACAATAGAAGACTGTCGGAATCCAAACAAACCACCACCGGAGCTATAGAAAACAAAGTTAGACCGCCGTAGTGGCCAAACCACAACAGGAACGACGATAACTAAGTTTATGACTAAGTTTTAAGAATCTTATCAAACAAAATATATTTTATTTTTTTACTAGATTTTGTAAACATTTTGAGGACTTTTATTCAAAAAGTTAAAGCTTCGTTTTGCCGTATCAACTATAGAAAATTGGATCGTTAATTGCATTTATACAAAAAAAACATAACATGTTAATCAAGTTTTTCGACAGGTATACTTTTTAGAAAATTTTCCTACAATCCTAGAAAATAACAAAATTTGATTAACCCTTGAAATTAATATTATTTTACCCTAATAAATATGTTGGTACACTTTCTCTTAACGAGGATATTTTTTTTTTTTCTATTTATGGCTAAGATATTTAGTCTCCAATTCCCATCCCACAAACATGAAAATTTGAATATTGAAAGATAATAATTAAATAGAAAATATTTATAATATGTTCTGAAAATGAAATTATAGCATAATATATGTTATATGTGAGCCAATAGAAAGAGAAAATAAATAGATGTCGAAAAGCAATGAGTGCATAGTAGATAATGCCAAAAAAATTGTAGTCAAAAGTGTTTAAAATAAATTACTAAAAGTTGAAAATTTAATAATGCACCTCACTAAATAAAAACCTTTTAAATCTCATTCATTCATTCATCAGGGCAGTGCTTTTATACCCAAACTTTGATACCATGCCAAGACCAATCTAAACTCACTTAAAAAAAAAAATTGTCAACCTCAATTATGTGGAAATTAGCTGATTCCAACATCTCTCAAAACGATGACCATATCCTATCAAACATGTGTTTCCTCGATTTCCTATAATTTATATTAAAAAATGAAAAATATATTAAATTAACAAAAATACTCTTTTTTGTGAAGATCACATTTTTTTTTTGTCGTCTGAAATTTTATTAATTATTGTTGTGAAACCAAAGATGAAATACAAAGCCCAAAAGAGGGAAACATAAGCCGGCAGACGATGAAGATGTCCCCATAGTCATTAAGCCCTATGGAAGGGAGTCTAAAAGAGATACAAAACAGAAAATTTGGAACCTAAATCGAAAGAATACTAATCCATAAACTTAGAACAGAAGAAACCGGCCATAAAGCCTTAAGCTAAACAATAGAATCAAGAACACAAAGCACTTCTTCTTGTTAGACACAAGTGAGAGAGATTTACCGAGGATGCCCATGGCCAAACCGAAGATAACATCTACCACCTCCTATCACGATGAGAGCCAATCTCTCGAAACAAAGGACTTCAAAACCCGATAAGCACCTAGCTTTCGGAAGCGACGAACACATTGATACGCAAAGAACGTCATACTAGAAGCCTTCCAAACGCGATCAGACCTCAATAGATCTCGAACGCAGGGACAAGGAGCGAGGCCTGTAACTCAAGAATCACCAATCTCAAAGCGAACGATGAAAAAACATGAGAGCTATCACCCACAACGAACAACAGCAAGAAGAAGATAACTCACACAGACTTGGAAGCCTACCATCACATTCAAACAAAACGAATCTTCTGCTTAGAAAAGGATCGAACTCATTGGAATCCAAAGGCCGAGACGAGGAGATCAGGCGAAAAGAAAGGCATAGGCTGGAAGAAACTAACTAATCCCACACCCACACTACCCTAACGGCATAGAAACGGAGTAAAGAACAAGAGCGACAACAAATTCAAGGGCAGGAGACCTACACTGGAATCACAAAACCAAATGAACTGGCCGCTCCATCCGCTATCTCTAACGCACATAATCAACACTCCAATCGAAGGATACAAACTCTGCACCCAACACTATCCAAAACAATCTCCTCAATAGCAACTTCCTTGATGAAACACCACTGCTAAGAGAAGGATTTATTTCAGAAACCCGAGTTACATAACCACAACGAGTAAGGGAGCGAAATCACCATAAACCAATTAGCCACCAAAGGGAAACCAAGGAGCAGCAACTAGTGGGTAAGGCTCCATCAACAGACGAGCCCAACCACCACAACCCACCAGCTAGTTCCAAAACCCAACCAAAATTGGCAAGATAACACCTCCAATCCACGCTTTAACAACGAGGAGAACAAAAACTAAGACAAGAATAGAGCTAAAGAGGGAGAGGCCGGATCTGGTGCTGAGGAAGCCACCAAAATCCAGCCTCCATCTGAATTTTTTTTTTTCCTTCGGCGGCTAGGTCAAGAGAGAGGAACCATATATAACTTGTATATTTTTTTTTGTGAAGATCACATATCTACCAGTTTCGTTTAGGCTTCAAAAATACTAGGACCAGCCATGGGCATTGGCTATTCAAATCCCATACCAGAAACATGAAAATTATAATAAAGACTATTAATTTTCCATTTATGGTTGTTGAACTTATCTCCTTAAGTGGAAGGAAATGCACTTTGTAGTTGTGGCAGTTAACGACCCCAACTTTTGACTCATCGTTCCTCCTCTGAGAGTGACAAGCGCATTTTCCTCCCCATTAAGAAGACAAGTTCAACTCCCACACCAATTGTTGAAGATATCATTGTTGAAGAATGTCATATTATTTATAGCAAAAAATTACATCTCTTTCGGTTTACATAGCCGATGTGGGATATGTTGATTCCATTTACTTGGGCTTTTAAACAAAAAAGTACTGGATTATGTTAATCATGAGTTTATGCCCAATATGGCTTCTGTTTACGTTACTTATTGGCTTTTTGTTATATATGTTCAATTTCCATATTTACAATTTTTGAGATAAAATCCGTATACTGTGTAACACCCATCCCACCATAGAGACTAAGACGACGTGTTAATCATTGGATCTTCCAAGAAAATGTTTCTTCAAATTTCATCCACAAACAAAAATATTGCATATAACTCCTGAAGCAAAATGAATTACACAGTGAGAGTATCATTTCCGCCCACTAGTAAATACGAAAAAAGAAACTACCTTTAAACCACACTCATCAATCACATAGAAAAAGGCACAACAATCAACTACTCCGCAACATTGTGCTGAGCTAGAACACACCAATACTTCTTGCCATCAGCAAGATCTCCACATCAATACCAGGTTCGATCATCTCTCATGACCTTTGAACCTATCTTGTTCCACTCGGCCCGTCAGCGTTTCATTGAGCTACTAAGAATTCGATGATTTAATGTAAAACATTTCCAGGTTCGATTATCTCTTGTTGCCTTTGAACCTATCTAGTTCCACTGGGCACGTCAGCTTTTTATTGAGCTACAAAGAATCCGTCAATTTAATGTAGACCATTTCCACTTTCATCATCCTTAAAGATGGTAAATCTTATTTCACATATCTTACATCTTAAACTAGTTTTTTCTTAAGACATTATCTCGGTCACTTTAAAACATTCATCACCCATCAAATTATCAGTTCCTAATTATCAACACAACACTAGTTCACAAGAAAATCTAATCCTATGCAAAAGAATCATGAAGTATAAGAATAGGACTTATAATCGAATTTCCGCAGATTACATCCACCTTAGCCACTTGATGAAAACACACAATTAGACAATGAATAGTATGCTTCAGCTGCATACTATTGAACTCCATCTTGGTTCTCCATTAACCAAGAACTAATGCATGGAGTCCTAAACGCTCTTGCAAAGGTACAGCTCAACCCTAGCTCGTTCCCCAATCAAACAATAATCTTCGTTACAAATAACACCTAACAAAACTGTTAGGTAAACATACGCATAAGTCCACAACTAACCGTTAGAATCGTTATCCTACCGTTGGAAATGGGTTACCATGAGTCTCTCCACCAAATTTTGTCTCGATCAGACTATTTTTGGACTTCCAAACGTTGCTTCGAAGAAGCCAAGACGAAACTGTTTCTAGGATTCTAAATATGACCAGATCTGCAATTACTTGTCCAGAAAGTAACGTTGATAACTTCTCGAATATAACCTCAAATCAAGCTCCGTCAGCGGCTAATGATTCTTGACAATATCTCCTTTCCAAATACGCCTTACTTGCGACCTAAATCTTTCTGGTCCGACATGAATCAGCCTCAAAACACATGAACTCGGAACTATGCAAAATTACTATAACGTTTTAGTTTTGATTTTTCTAAAGAAAGTTTTTTATATTTTGAGTATCATTTATGCTGTTTAAAATTTTGTTTAAATAAAAAAGAAAAGATAAAGAATTATATACGACAGTTAAACTATTTTTTTCGCCTAATAATATACTTCTAACAAATAAATAAATACAAAATCAAAATCCAGAAATATTCTCAGTCTTTTCACGTACGACATTCTGATTGAATTTTATTAGTTTTGTTGTTGTGATACATCAGAAATTTAGGGTGAGACATAACGTCTATGACTACCTTATTTTGGTTCATTTTAGTTAATATAGCTCTTCTAAATCGAACATTATAAACATTTGTTGACTATATACACCCATATATTCTATTTTGTTTATTTAAGTTTTACAACTAAGACCATCTCCACTAGAGCACCCCATCAAAGGTGCTTAAAATTAAAGGAGAGAGGGATTGTAAGAAGAGAGAGAAAAGAGAGATTGTCGGAAAAAAAGAAAAAAAATGAGAAAAGAAATTTCTTTTTCTATTTTACTCATCGACCAACCAGAGTGTGTCACGTCGTGTTGATTATGCGATGCTTTCGTGCCTAATTCATCTTGTGGGCTCTTCAACCTTATTTTGCATTTAATTTTGGGCAACTTACACAATAAGCAAGCCATTAAATCTCAGCACTAGTTGTTAGATCACAACCATATATTTTAGCATTTTTCTTATTCTCTCCAATCAAATCACAACCATAGTTTCATATCATCCGCTCTCAAGAATATTATATCTCTATACTCTCTTTTAACAACTCATGTTTTTCTCACATTCTTTGCAGTAGTTATATGGATTTATGATTTTACTAATATTTTAAGATCTATTATTCTTATAAATAGTTTTTTAAGTTCTATACTACATAAAAGTCGAAGCTATAAGTTATGAGATCGTCCACGTGAGATTTAAAACCACCAATCACGGTTGGATATCTCACTATTTAACAATTTCAAAAGAACAATACTTTTCTATATAAAGTTTGTTTTTTTATAAAAAGGGGGAAAATAAGATTTATGGAAATAAAAGAAATATTTGAAAATATGGAATATTTATAAATTAAATAAAGCATTGTGAACCAGCGGTTAATAAAATCTATTCTTCCTTACTGAATGGGATTTGTTATTTAGTTAATTAAAATACAAAAGAAAACAAAGGTTAAACCATAGCTAAACCAGCTAAACCAAAAGAAATAAGTACTTAAACATAGAACATTAGAAACTAATACTAAGGACAATCCCTAATTATGGCCACCATTTTACTTCTTCTTCGTCTAGCCACTGATCTTCTTCTTCTTCTTCTTCTTCTTCTTCTTCTTCTCCTCCTCCTCCTCCTCCTCCTTCTCCTTCTTCTTCTACTCCTCCTCTTTCTTTCTTTTTCTCCTTCTCCTCTTCGTCTTTCTTCTTCCTTTTCCCTTCTCCATCGGCCTAATTTATAAGACCCCAAAGTTTCTCACTCCCAACTTTCGATCCTTCAAAGTGAAAAGAAATGTTTTTTCTCCCCTCCCAAACTTCAACTGCACTGCCATCAAATATCTCAAACATGGATAGGGTACCCTCCTCGGTCTTTTCTCCAAGCTGATACTCAGGATCGAGCTTTCCCATGGCATAATGGTTGTATCCATTCCACTCGCTCTGGCTTAGATAATGGTTGAACCTCTATCTTATGGAGGGATTAGTGTCTTCAAGCTCTCAATCAACTATTGAGCTTTATCATTGCCCTCTTTCTTTATTTCCTCATTTCCTTCTTTCTTTCTTCTTCCTCACCTACTTCATTTTTTTTTCACTCACTCCATCTTCCTTTGCACTCATTTTATCTTATTTATTTGATTCCTCTTCCTCATCCAATTTTATCAATTCATAATCCGAAGTTGGTGATGAAATTTTATATCTTTTCTTGTATCTTCGTTGTATCATCTCCCTCATGCCAAGAAAAATTTGCCTTCGAATCTTCAACATGGTTTTTAATATAAGAGATATTTGCAAACCTATTTTCATCACCAACTTCAAATTTTGCCTAATTTTTTCACGAATTATGTTTGATCCAAATTTTGCTTAAATATGATTTGACCGATGAGAAAGAGAATAGGTTTTCTTTTCGTCATACTATCACATTCAACAAACATACTCCGAGAAGTCAATATGACATAATTAAATTTGTTTTTCAAACTCCAGAATTTATTTGTTAAAAAAGCTACCAAAATACTATAGCTGATGATGAAAACCTTTGACCAAATTAAATATATAGTCCAAATTACCAAAAAATACTAAAAACAAATATATATGTAATGGAAATTCCTTACATGTTATTCTTTTTTATATTTTGGTCAAATCATTACATGTTATTCTATAAAGAAGATATTACAATCTATATATACTCACAATCAATCCTCAATAACTCTAGCTAGCAAAATATCAAAAAAAAAACAAAAGGTAAATAAAATTAAAAATATGCTCAATTTCATAAAAATGTAAATCTTTTATGAAGAGATAAATAATTTGTTTCTCAAACTAACTGGGAAAACAATTTGGAGCAATCACTCAAATTTATTTTTTATACCATTGTCCCAATTTTTTTATACCGAAACTTCTTCTTAAATTAACTTTTATTTTAATTTTATAGCTACGATATTCTGTAAGACTTCTTGAAATCCTCAAGAAAAAAAGAGAGTGCTAATGGCAGTCATAAAGTTTACATCTCTTCTATTATTCATGGTTTTTGCTCTCATCCTTATGCCAATAATTTCAGGTAACCTATTTTTTGTTTTTGTCAATATCTATATTTTATTAAAAGCTTTCTTATTTAAAAATGTAATTCATTAGCTGCAGAAAAGGTGTTTGAATTTCCAATTCAAAAATTACTATGATTTATGAAATTAATGGAAATATTACTAATCTATATGTTTATGAATCAAACAGGTCATACATGTCATGTGATTGGTAAAAGACCTACATGTATGATGGAGGAGAGGTGGGTAGGCGCATCGGAATGCAATGCATCATGTAAATATATTGGCAGGAAAGGAGGATATTGTAGACAATTTGCTGGTATTGATTATTGTTGCTGCACACTGAATTTTGAGTCTCTACAATCTCATTTGTCTAATCCTCCTATGATTTAATATGAACTCTCAATATTATATGAATAAAATATATTTCAATTTTACATATATACATTATTATTGTATACAAGCAAGGTAAATAATTGCATTTTGTGATATTAAAGATAAAGAAAATGATGAGAATTATTCCCTATCTTGCTTGATATCCTTTAGATACACAAAGCAGATTATTTGGATTATGTAAAAGCAGATTATTTGGCACGCAAAGCTCGTGCTTGTCCGTATGCTATGAAGTTTGTAAACAGTTTCCCAACTGGTTGGCTCGTTTGAGTTAATTTAAGCTTATTTGGTGACAAAAAAAGGTAAATTAACTTTTTTTGTTTATTATGTAATGTATGAGTCTTCAAGAAATTCACAACAACACATTTCTTAACTTCCATGTAGGCAATATTTGGAAGTGCAAATTAGTAATAGACTGTAAATCTGATGTGTAAGGAACAAACTTATTCTTCTATTCACTAAACAAAAATAGATATGTTAAACTGCATGTGAGTACTGTATATTCAAGAACTTGTTCTAGAAATGTATGTGGTATTACATGAACAATATTATAAACCATATAAATAATAGTTTTGCTTGAACTACTATAATTTTAGTTAGTCAAAGTTTTTTTCCTTGTCATAATCATTATGGTTTGAAAAAACCCATCCTGTTTTTTTTTTTTTTTAAACATGCAGACCGGATTAACCTAACTAATTGTAAACCACCTAGACCAGCCCCAAATCAATTCAAATCGATTAAACCACACATAACATAACCAGCAGAAGACTTAAGCACCATCCATGAAAATAATTCCATTAAACCAACAAATTCAACAAAACATTATTCCAGAAACATAAGCACCCTAACATGCTTTTAAATTCCGTTCTAACACCCTAACAAATCCAACAATAATCTAAAACACCAATGAGCGCCTAGATCATCCTCCTCTCCTCGCCATGATACCACAAATCATACTTTAGCTTTACCTGCATATAAGTATTTTATAAATACTTAGTGAGGCAATCATCCCCACAACAGGCTATACACACAAACTGCATAATCCACATTCCAGCAACACATATCAATCATAAAAAGGCCATAACAATAACAACACAATCCGATCAGACGAGTAGTGTTGAGCGACACCATTGGTGTCGAGCGACACCAAAACCCTAATATCACTCCAGTCGCTTCTCATCAACGAATCCGCCGTTTCCTAGCCTTCCATGGCCGTGTAACCACTCCATAAGGCTCGTCCAGAGGTACCATAACACATAAAACAAGCATACAACAAGGAAAATCAATTAACAATCATAGAAATCACCAAAAAAATGAATCAAACAACTCAGATAAGCCTAGGTCTTGCACTCACCTTCGAAAAGGATTGAAACAAGGACAATATGCACTCAACAACAGCCACCAAAGACTCTCCTAACACCACAGCTACGAGATCTCTCTTCTCAAGGATAGAATCACCAAGAACAAGGCTCAAAACACCCTCAAACCTCACCAAAACCTCTCCAGAGAACTTAGAAACTTTAGAGAAGAATAAAAGCGGCTACCCCAGAACAAAACACGAGCTTTTCTCTTTTAAACGTGACCTAGGGTTAAACCCTAACCAAAACCACACAATTTCGTAATTAAAATCGACCCGAACAAACCGAAATCACACTGGTGTCGAGCGACACCCTTCAGTGGTGTCGATCGCCACCACCCAAACCGGAACACGGGCGTTACATGGTTAGTCAAAGTTTTTAGTCTTACATGAATTAATGAGAGTTATGATAATGATTTTTAGCTAGTCAAATTATCTTTAATTACTGAAATTGAAAATAGATATATTTTACCAGTAACAATCCGAATTTGATCTTTATTAACAATTTTACAGAAAATTCATAAAAAATCTCATATGTTGAAGATTGGTCCTAAAAAACAAGCTATCAGAGGTTGATACAAGTAGCCTGGGCAAAATACCCGGACCCGAGAATCCGACCCGAACCCGATCAAAAAACCCGATCCGAACCCGAACCCGAAATCTAGAAATACCCGAACGGGTTCTATATCTCTAAACCCGAACCTGACCCAAACCAAAACCCGAACGGATATCCGAATACACCCATAATATAAATATATGATAATTATTTATTAATAATATATATGTACTTGTAATAATCTAATGTCAAATTATCCATTTTTGTATATTTTGGATTGTTTTAAAGTTATATACTCCTATTTAAATAAATTTAAGTAAAAAATTATATAGGTTTTGAAAATTTTTATTAGTTTGAACATATTTGGATACTCAAATTTTGAATTTTGAGAATTCCGGGTAACCCGAACCCAAACCCGAAATATCCGATCCGAACCCGATCCGAACCCGAAATCAAGAAATACCCAAACGGAGTCTATATCTCTAAACCCGAAAACCCGAAATACCCGACCCGAAGCCGAACGGGTACCCGAACGCCCATGCCTATTATCTCGACATATATTTACTTACATAGTTTTTTATAATTTATTATAAAAACTTGTAACGCTCCGCCCGTCAACTCTCTCAGTAACAGGCCGCAACGTCCTCGTTGCGAAATAAAACCGATCACATGTTTAAATTCTAAAAAGTATGAGGGTTTGTGTAGGGGGTAGTTGTTAATTTCTGAAGCAACGCATTGTTTATTACCCTAGAGAAGTAACAGTCGGAATGTTACATAACTCACGCGTTGCGTGAGATTTTCCCTAGTTTAAAATAAGTTAATATTGGTCAAGCTGTATTGCAGCTTCTAGGGGTTCTTATTTAAGCCTTGGTAGAAAAACTTTCATTAGGACCACTTGTTTGAAGATTAAGTTTAGACCATCTTTTCTAATCACTCACACATGGGATCAGCTAAGAATTCATTGCCGTTTAACAGCTTGGAGTACTATTGTTTGGTTAGGCCAAAGTATCCCACGTTATGGGTTCATCACATGGTTAGTAGAGACCCATGCACTTATATTTTTTACATAAAAACCATTACATAGTTAATTAATGAACTAGTTATTACATAAAAACAACATCGATAGTCTCTGAACTTATACAAGAAACAACAAAACCAAGGCTGAGTCTAGCAAACAATAGCCATGGGCGGATCAACAACTTGTAGATTCACCATAGATATAGTCAAGAACAGCTATTACTCCGAAAACAAAAGCTTTATCCACACTTGGTTTGATCACCACCTTATATATATCTCTACTCCCAACCCATTCTTTTACCTTAGCAATAACATTTCCCGTTGAATCAATGATGCTACAATCCCTATCCGGGAAATACCCTCTCACATCAAAGTAACAATTCCCCGGTCCAACCGAAATGCGAATCGAACTGGTTATGGAGAAGCAAGAGTGTTTAGGATCCCTCAATGTGAAAACCGGTTTAACACTTCCTTGGTAGTCATAACTATAACCTCTCCACTTGTTATGAATGCTCAAAGCCTGCACTACTCCTCCCTACACCAATCAACACATATATATAATTCTATAAACCAATCATATTTCAACTTTTTCTCCTCTAAAGGAATATATATTAAAAGGGTTGCTTTATCTTGACGCATTACTTCTTTAACATACGTTCATCTATATCTTTAGCAGCTTTATATAAAGTAATAATCATTATTCACTTGTCGTTGTTTAGATAGCTACCACTATGTAACCTTTATACAAAAAAAAAAAAAAAAAAAAAAAAAAGATCACGCATTTGAGATTTATTTTCTAGTATTTAGAACTTTTTTTTTTTGGAAAACATTGTATTTAAAAGTATATAATCAATATTTTTATGGGAAATTTTGAAAGTTAACTTTGTTAAACTTAGCGTCCTGCCCAAAATGGTCAAGTTAACGAAACTTCACTATTCAACCATAAAATTAGGTAAACTTTGAGATTTAATTGACATTTAAAACATTCAACTATTTTTTCATCTCCAAAGAAAAATTTATGTTTTTCATTGAAAAAGTAAGTAAACAAATAATTTTTTTTTCGACATTTTTTCCGGTGTAGATTTGGACTATATATAAAGATGAGATTGGTTGAGATGAAAACATAAAGATACCTTTTTGTGGATGAGAAGCAAATCGTTACCATCACCATCTCTAAGAACTAACTCTCCTTTTGTACCAAGAACTCCACAACCATCGATCTTGAAAACGATCTTATCATCTTTGCAATTTGAAACCACGAAGCCACCACCGTTAACAACGTGTGGACGACGTCTCACCACCATCACCTCCTCCATTGAAGAACAATGCAACTTGCTCACCACTGCTTTCATTTTCTTTTCTCTACTAATGTAAACTAAACTCTTGTATATACACTTATATATATAAATATTCGTTTGGCGGTATAGGTTTACTTTTTCTCTTTTATTATTTTAGTTTCTTGACTCTAAAGAAAGCAAAAAAGAAGAAGAAATGGTTTACTACATTTGTCAGTTTTTTTCAAATGTTCGGCGACTTACGTTTTGACTTTTAAACTTTTCATGCACCACGTCTCAAAACAATACTCAATATCAAAATATTAATATGATGCAATAATTTGTTAATAAATTCTTTATTGTGAGAGAATCAAAAATCATAGTGTGTTTCTTGAGACAAAAAAATTACAAATCTTGATTAAATAAAATAAAAATCACAAATCTAAATATTTGAAGTTCATTGGTATTATAGGAAAAAACAAAATATTCCATGTGGAAAATGTGAAAATGTTTCAGTGTATAAGATGGCGTATTCGTGTGGGAGATTGATAACTTGTGAAGGAGGAGGATAGTTGTGTGTAAGTCAAATTACCCTTTTTTCATCTTCTTTTGTTTATTCTCTCTTACCCATTTCTAGATAATGATCTTACTTTCATAGTAAGAAAAAAACTCTCATTTGGTCACATAATCATTGTCTAATTTAAAACGTTTTACGAGTTTATACTTACCTACTTAATTAAGAGATTATATATGAGTCATTTACTGTGTATAGGTGGTTCTAGTTACTAATATTTTCTTAAAAATGTGGATGCCAATATGACTAGAATTAAAACACGGATATTATGTTTAAAGTGGTTCAAAATACATCTAATTGATGTTTTTTTTTTTTTTTTGAATAGGAAAATTGATATATATTGTTCAAAGATACTGTATGTTAGTTGTTATTTTGACTTTTCATTGACTTTAAGAAAATGAATCTTTGAAATTTGTTAATTTAGGAGTTCACAAATTTAAGCCTGTATATTTAATTCTATTATATTTTCATTACAATAGTAGTTTGCATCTCTTTGCAATCAATGTAAATAAAAATATTATATCAACCACAATCATGCGTTTTGCGGATGGATTAGCTAACTATGCGTTTTCATTACCTCTTGATTTTCATTTATTGAACTCGATGCTGGATGTGGTTAACTCGATTTTGTTAGAGGATACGAATGGGGTTTCATACCCAAGACATTTTCGATTGTAGTATCTTTTAAATAACCCGCAGATTACCAAAAACAAAAATATAAACTTTTCAAAGCGGGCTCTATAGCTTAGATGAGTTTTATAAATGAGAATACATCAATACATCCGGTTATTGATCGGTAATTCCAGTTATTAGAACCAACCCGAATTCAAATAATACCGAAACAAATTTTCTATAATGGTTAATCTCTATTACCAAATTACCACAAAACCAGAAATACCGGTGGGAATAAAAGTAGAAAACCAAATAATAAAAGGGAAAGATATTATATATATAACGATTTTTCGATAAATCCCTTCTTTTCAATATATATCTTATTATATAAACTTTAGTTTTCAAAGTCAGCCATTAACAAGATCGTGACATGTGTCAATTATAAACGATAAGATGTTGACACGTGTCGATTCTAATTTTGCTAATATTTAGATAAAATAGAAATATTATTAACCCTATCGAAAAAGAAATATATAAAATAAAAATTATAAAAAATTATATAATACAAAATTATTAATAAAATTAAACAAATAACCTAATTTCAGTTATGTCAATTTGGTTTATTAATACGATAGGGATTTAAAAATTATAATTAACAAGAATATATGTCGGTTTTTGTTTACATAAGAGGATTAAGGTTTAAAATTTAGTTTTACAATCAAAACATGTTATTTGTTGGTTTGGGTATATAAATGATAAATGAGAATTATGGTCTATCATTGTAAATTAAAATTATGGTTTAAGTTTAACAATTAAACGAGATTATATGTCAAAACTTGGTTTTTAAATTTACTAACTCTAGTGATCATGATAAATGTCAAGTAAAACATAGATGTCGCAACATAATATATCTAATTTTGTTAATATTAAGATAAAATACATTTTTAAAAAAATATTAAAAATAAAATAGATAAAATAATTATAAAAATAAAAGAATTTTTAAGAAATACCCCTTTTGGTGTACCCCTTTTCAAAAATATCCCCTTTATCTATCCATTTTCAAAAACCTCCCTCTTTAAATATGAAAAATTATAAACTTTTTTGTGGTTTATAAGGTACTTCTATATAATAACTACTACTTGGAAATTTGATACAAATATTTTATAATGTTTTAAAAGGTTTTAACTCTTTTTTACAAGTTTTATAAGGTTTTTAAAAGGGTTTATAAGGTTTTTAAAAGGTATTTATAAGTTATTTTACCCTATTTATGAAAGATATATAAAAATTTATACATATATAAAGATAATTTTTGTGTATATTTATAAGTTTACACACATATTTGGATAAATTTCAAAATTTTTAGTGGTTTGTTTGATAAAGTTTCAAAAAGGGGTATTTTAAAAAAGTAGTACTGGAAAATGGTATTTTTGATAAATTAAAAAGTAAAAAAAATTGATATTTATCAAAAAATTATGTGTAAGCTTATATATATAGATACAAATTATCTTCATATGTGTATAAATTTATATCTATATTTCATAAATATCGTATAAATGCCTTTTAAAAGTTATTTAAAAGCCATATAAAAACTTTATAAACCTTATAAAAACCTTATAAAAGTCTTATAAATGCCGTTTAGAACCTTTTAAAACTTTATAAATATTTGTATTGAATCTCGCAGTAGTAATGATGATCTAGATGTACCTTATAAACTATATAGAAGTTTACAATTTTTTCATATTTGAAAAATGGGGGAATTTGCAAAAATACCCCTTTTCATATACCTCTTTTTAAAAATACTCCCTTTTCAAACTTTATCAAAAACCCACTAAAAATGTTGAAATTTATCCAAATATGTGTGTAAGCTTATAAATATATACACAAATTACCTTTATATGTGTATAAAACTTTATATACCTTTCATAAATAGCGTAAAAATAAATTATAAAACCTTATAAAAACCTTATAAAACCGTATAAACCCTTTTAAAAACCTTATAAAACTTATAAAAACGATTTAAAACTATTTAAAACATTTTAAAATATTTGTATCGAATCTCCCTATAGTAGGTATTATATAGAAGTATCTTATAAACTATATAAAACTTTATAATTTTTTATATTTAAAAAGGGGTATTTTTGAAAATGGATAGATAAAGAGGGTATTTTTAAAAAGGGGTACACCAAAAAGGGTATTTCTCAAAAATTCTCTTGAAAAAATGTATTTTTAAAAATGAATAGAAAACTGGTGTATTTCAAAAAAAAAAGAGTACACCAAAACGGGTATTTCTCAAAATTTCTCTTTCAACTATTAACCTATTTTTGGTTTTGCCAATTGTAGATTTTACAATTATAAGGGTTATATGTTGGTTTGATTTTATAAATGCGTATTATAGTTTAGATTTTATAATTAAACGAGATTATTTATTGGTTTGGGTTTATAACAAAGGAGTGAGATTTAGGTTTTACAATTAAACAATGTTATTTATCAGTTTGGGTTCATAAAGGAAAATTAAGATTTACATTTTAAAAATAAAATAGATTTTGAGTTTAACTAAATAAATATTTTTATTCATGATTTTATTTTATAATATGTTATATTTGTTTAATTTTTAATTTATGTATGAATGTATTATGCCATTGAGCAATTTCATTGTCTAAAAATTAAGGTGAATAAAAGATTTTCGAAAATAATATTTTTAGCTTAAATTAAAGATAACAAAAGTTCAATATAATTTGTAATATAGTAATTTTAAAATATTTTTAAAAATTAATATGTAGTTTTTTATAATTCGAATTTGAAATATTTTTTAATATTTTCCTCAACGATGCTATAATTTATTCTAGAATCTTTCTGTTTATTTGCGTTGTTTATATGAACTTCTTTACAAATGACTATATTTCTATTTAACATCATAGTTTAGATTGATGTTAATTTGAAAGAACTTTACCATCATATTAAATAATAATTAATTAATTTTCATAGTCTGAGAATGATTTTTTAAAAAATTGAAAGCTAAGAAATAACAATATCATAAATAATGGTGAATAGCTCCCAAATAGCTCCCAAATATTTTGGTGATTGTCAGTTTGACATTACTTGATTTTTATAATTAACGTTTAATAACCAATTTTAAGATATATATATATACACGTTTATTTGATACTTCAAACCAAATAAAATCTTTTTCCAAATGAAAATAATTTCTCTTATTTTTTCGAAAAAAAATTGAAAATTAATTTTTTTATAAGTGATAATATATTTTAATTTTAGTTTAATTTTAAATAAAGATAAGGACGGGTATACTAGTATATATAGATTTTTAATAAATTGGTTGCAGAGAATAATACGTAAAACCCTACATTGTTTGTATTCCATCAGAGAGGTCAGGTCAATGACGATTCCAGAGCTACCAGATGATTTGGTAGAAGAGATACTCAGTCGCGTTCCGGCTACACATCTGAAACGATTACGATCTACTTGCAAACTATGGAACCGTTTATTCAACGACGATTGGAGATTCGCAAGAAAACACTCCAAAGAATCCCCTAAGCAGTTTACGTATCTCATCATGACAAAGAACTTCAACATTGCCCCAGTGAGCATCGATCTCAATACAACTGTAGAGGTAAAAACTGAAATCGAGCACAGCTTCAATGATCCTCGGTACAATTATCCAGTTAAGTTCAAAACAAATAGAGTCATACATTGTGACGGAGTCTTGTTATGCGCCAACTTCAACAAAGAATCTATAACATGTCTTTGGAACCCTTTAACTGGTGAAAAAAGATGGATCAAAAGCGAAGAACCTAACCACAGATTATGTATGTTTCATCTGGGATACAGCCAAGGAGACAAGGACAAGAAGAAGAGCTACAAAGTCTTGAGTATTAATCGCGATACCAACGTTTTCAGAATGTACGAGTTTGACTCTAATACATGGAGGAGTCTTGGTAATATAACTCCGGACTGGCGCATGCTATTCTTTCCTCTGTCTTTGAAGGGAAACACTTACGTGTTTGCTGAAGATGAAACCAAAAAGCCCTCAATCATATCATTGCTTAAGATTGATTACACGACAGAGAAATCTGTTCCTGTGCCTCTTCCTTATGATGATTGTATTGATTTTAGACTTACATGCCTTTCCGTTGTTAGAGAAGAGAAGCTTGCTGTGTTATTACAGCGAGATAGAATATCCAAGACTGAGGTATGGGTGACGAATAAGATTGATGATGAGACTACCAAAGTGGTGTCATGGAGCAAGGTCTTAGCATTGGATTTGAGCCCTGATGTTGTGTTGTCGAATCTTGGAAGTTTCTTGCTCGACGAGGAGAAGAAAGTCTTGGTGTATTGTGGCACATGGTGTGGTACTTATTATCAACCCTTGATCAAAAACGTGATATACATTGTTGGGGAGGATAACATAGTCACAACAATGGATTTTGGAGTAGAAGATTTGAACGTATGTTGGCTTTCTATTCTTAACTATGTTCCAAGTTTGGATCGAATCAAACCACATCAAGGCAAAAGGAAAAGAGTTGACGTCAACTACTAAACAAGCTCTACATGTAATTTATCTTGGTCATGTTCTTTTTGGTTGTGTTTTTCTTAACTTATCTAAGTCGTGTTCTATGAATCTTTGTCCGTGTTCTATGAATCTTTGGTCGTGTTCTATGAATCTTTGGATAAGTTATCTTGGTCGTGTTCTATGAATCTTTGCACGTATGTAAACTCTAAAGACTCTTATGTCTGAAGTGATGTCACAACATTAGGTTATTTATAAAAGAGACAATTTCATAATTTCATCAGTATAATATAGTTAAATGGAAAACTCGAAGCAACACAATGAAACATTTTTTTCTACTACCATCCCGAACTCTCTTTTTTTGGGGATGGTCTTCTTCATTACCTACACACTCAATGACTCAAAAACCAAACAAGAACACTTTACTTCCCCACTACATGATGATTATCATCATTACGGCTCAAGGATTGGTTTTGGTTTAGCCTAAACCCAATCATCTAGAAACCAAAATCATCACTAGGAACTCAACTTAAATAGAAAGAAAAAAAAAAAACATCACTAGGGATGTTAGATTTGTGTTTCGTTGTTGATTTTTAATCAAAACCGGTTCCAAGAGAATGCGACGGGACTTCTTACTTCGTGTTGCGGATTGATCCAAGTGATGGATCCAAACTCAGCTTTGTTAGTCATACTCACTCCTTTCTTGCTAACAAACGTGACTGTGTACCTCTTCTTCTCTCCAACCCTTTTAAACGTAAGCTTTGATGGTTTAACCGAGATTTCAACAGTAGGAGCCCCATTAACCATCACTTTGTAAACCGAGTTTGCTGCACCGACATTTGTTACTTCCCGAGTGTACCGCACAACTCTTTTACCCCCAAACAAAACAGAGAAACTTGGGTAGTTGAGCTGACCAGGATCAGAGAACTTCTTTGTGCAGTTTACGCTAGATCGTTTCACAATCGCAACAATGTGATCAACTGTGTATTCTAGAGAGCACAAGAACCTGATGTATTCCTCGGTTGAGATGTCGTAGACAAGACCCGGTGAGAGAGCCTTTTGGGGATCTACATGGCCTGAGCCGTGAGCATGTGGGTTAGAGAGGCTGTTGTCTGCAGCATCATGGAGAGGGGAGTTGGTGTTGTCAAGAACGTAAGCTGTGGTCATGAGAGCTGATTTGATAGCACTCGGACTCCACTCCGGATGAGCTGCTTTCAAAAGACCAGCTAAACCACTAATGTGTGGGCATGACATTGACGTACCTAACACAAATCAGACACTTTTCATCAGTCTCCCAAACTAATTAACAATTCTGAATTATGCAATCAAAATCAATTGTTAAAATCGAGAATCTTGAACCCGTGAAGTGTAATAATACCTGACATGATGTTGAACTGAGTCCTCCTCGAGTCCTTTTCAAGACCAGTAGGACCAATAGCATCAGACCAACCAGCCAAGATATTAACACCAGGACCAATAACATCAGGTTTCAAGATTTCAGGAGTAACAGTATTAGGACCTCTCGAGCTAAAAGCAGCAACCACAGGGGACGGCTTAACATCAAGAACCGTTCCTTTAAAAACAAGAACAGCAGTCGGATTAGAATCCGACTTAACATACTCCCTAAGTAAATCACCAGTCTTCTTCCCTACAGCAATAGCAGGAAGCAAATGACTATCCGCCACAAGCTCCTCACCACTCGCAGCAGTATTCGCCATTATCATCCCCAAACCACCAGCATCTCTCACCACAGCACCTTTCTCAACTCTAGCATTCACACCTCTATCACAAACAACAATCTTACCACGAACAATACTCGAATCAAGCGAACCAGGCAAACAAAGATTACTAGAACTACTATTCCCTTGATTATAAACCAACTCAAGCGGCTTCGTTCCCATTCCCACACCACTATAAAGCGAAACACCGGTAAGCCTTTTCCCGTTACCAAGATTCGCAAAAGCCGGAAAATCTCTATCCAAAGTTCCAGCACCAACAGTCATAACCCAAGGCGCAACATTCGCAACCGAGGCTCTAGTCGGACCACTATTACCAGCTGAACAAGACACAAACACACCTTTCTCCATAGCCGAGAACGATCCAATCGCAATCGTATCTCGATAATACGGAGCAGAGCCACCACCAAGAGATAAAGAAAGAACATCAACACCATCAAGTATAGCTCGATCCATAGCAGCTAAGATATCAGATCCAAAACAACCAGTACTCCAACAAACTTTATAAGTAGCAACACGAGCACGAGTCGCCATACCTCTCGCCGTACCAGCAGCGTAACCAAGGAAGCTAGCGTTTCTAACCGCAGATCCAGCAGCTGTAGTTGAAGTATGAGTTCCATGACCATCAACATCACGAGGAGAAACAGATTCACGTTTACTCGAGAAACCACCACCGCCTGAAGCCATTTGAAACCCTTTGGAGAAGCTTCTAGCTCCGATTAGCTTCTTGTTACACAATTTCGAATCGAAATCGGAACCAGATTCACATTCACCTCTCCATTTAGAAGGGATCTCAGGCATATCAGTATCATCAAAACTCTTAGATTCAGGCCAAACTCCAGTATCCAAAACTCCGATGATAACGCCGTTAGAAGCGGAGACGAGATCTTGATTAGTGTAAACGCCGAATTCGGAATTGAGACCGAGGAACTCCGGTGTACGTGTTGTGTGAAGTGTGTAGAGAGGATCTTCGAAGACGTCGAGGATTGAATCGGAGTCGCGGAGGAGTGATTCGGCTTCGGAGGAGGTGAGGTAAGCGGAGAAGCCATGGAAAGAGGTTGTGTAAGTGTAGAGAAGAGAGGATTCGGAATTGAGTTGGGATGAGTACCAATCGTGGTGAGATTGGAATGATTCTGGTTTATCGGAGTGTTTGACTCGGACGATGTAGGTTTTTTTCGCGGCGGCGATGTGGAGGAGGAGGAGGAGGAGGAGGAGGATGGTGATGGAGGAGGAGGAGGAGGAGGAGGCCATGACTGTGGAGAAGAGAGTGAGAGAATTTTGAGGAGTGATGATGAAGAAGAAGATAAAAGGGAGAGAGAGAGAGAGAGAGAGAGAGAAGTGGACACGTAAGGGACGTGTGACCGTTAGGAGGAGAGTAATTACGGAAATGCCATCGTCGGTGGTGGGGGAGTTTTTGAAAAGAGTGTGTGTGGGAAAACACAGCTGGAGACACGATTGAGACTTTCTTCATTGGCTCTGTTGTGTTGTGTTGGCCCATTCTTTTTTTTTTTTATTGGTTTACTCAACCAAACGTTCTTTTGTTCTTTTTTTTTTTTGACAACGTTCTTTTTGTTTCTTTTTCTTCTTATTTTTAGTATTATTTATTCATTTGTTTTTTTTTGGTAATGTATTTGTTTATTTGTTTATACGTATGATCAATTGCGAGTTAGGACTTTTGTTACTAACATTTATATATTTTACTATTTTCTCAAAAAAAAAAAATTCAAATTTACCATTTTTCATATATAATATTTGGGTTGATTTAGTTTAGTTGTATATTCTTCTAGAGTGTAGTATATGTTATTAAGTATGTATTTTATTAAAAACAAATTCTCATATATTTAGTTTTTTTGAGTTGACAAAAAAAAAATTTAGTTTTTTGAATTGTAAAAAATGGTATATTTTGAATTTGTTTTGGAAAAATAGCAAAATTAAAAAATGGTAAGCCAAAAATGGCAAGTTTTTGTAATAATCCCTTATTTATAGGTTTAAGAGATTTTTTTTTTTGGTTTTTTAGAATTGATGCATCAGAGTTTGTTTACACTTGAAACAATTTTTTTTTTGGCTGTATTATTAATTACTCATGATTTATGTATTTATGTGTGTATATTGTGTCAGGGACTCAGGGGTTTAAAAATTTTTGTTGTATATTTTGATGAATGTTGTTGAGAATTAAGATCATTGAAGGGTAAGTGGGTAACTAATTAAGTTGTTCGACTATTTTTTTAATAGAATTATGATCATTTAAGGATAACAACTAACAAATAAATAAATAAATGTCTTTTCATAATGGAAATAATAATTTACAAAAAAAGTTCTTTGTCATTTTATTTATATTCAAATAATATAAAATAATTCCAAAACTTTTATTTAAATTATAGTATACAGAAATACGACTTGTAAATTTGTTAACTTTTATTTTTAATAAATTTTATTTTGTCAATGTTTTTATGTATATAAAAAAAATACAAGTTAGTTCCACAAAACTTTTTTTAAAAATGATAGTATACAGAAACACGAGTTGTAATTTTGTAAATTATTATTTTAATAAAAATTATTTTTTTAATGATTTGCCACAAAAATCCATTATTACTTTAACCACTCAAATTTCTAGTCAAGTTTTTACAAAAATAACAAAAATAGCTTATGTTATTACCAATTATTACTTCAACCACTCAAATTTCTAGTCAAAGTTTTTACACCAAAATTTTTTACTGCCAAAAGTAATTGTTGTTACTAATTGACCGTTAAGTTATTAGTGAAATTTACATGCTTGAAAAATAAAAATAAAAGAAAATAACAAATTAGGATGCTCTAAGTCGTACGTGAAAGCGTGCAAATATGTAAGTATGTAACGTTACCTTTTGTTCATGCGTTTTGTTACTTTTTTCACCATTTGATCATAGTTCTGATTTTTTTTTTTTTTTGGAATCTGAGGAAATGCAAAACTGTCGTTACGTAAAATACTTTTCGAAATGATGAAAAATTCCATTGATAAGTAAAGTAAAGTAACATTTGGTTATGAGTTAATTACAAATAAGGCACTTTTCTTGACATATCATTTCGTTTTAGGTATTTTCAACAATTCTTTCCAAAACAGGTATTTAATCAGTGTAAAAAGTCTGTTATGTCCTCTTCTCAGATGATGTCATTTGATCCCAGTCTTCGGCGATCAAGGAAGAAAAATTAGGGAAAACTGTGTAATAATCCCCGAACTAATTAAAGGAATTACAATCCACCGCTTCCACCTCCGTATGCTCCTCCTTCACCACCACCGTATCCTCCTCCTTCTCCTTCACGTCTTCTACCACTGTTGTATCCTCCGCCGCCACCTCCTCTCGAGTAACCACCTTCGCCACCACCACCGTTGTATCCTCCCTCGCGTCTTCCACCACCACCGCCGTATCGACCGCCTCCTCCGTTGTAACCACCACCGCCTCTGCTGATCCATCACCTCCACAGTTGCCTCCGCCACCGCTTCCTCATGATTGAGCCTCGTTGACGGTGATGTTATGTCCATTGATTTCTCATCCTTGAAGGTCACGAATCTGAATCTCTTTGACCTTCCGATCTTACGGTCGATGATGATCTGTTGAACTATAGAGAAAACAAATCAAATCAGCAACACAATCTAACGAAGTTGAACAAACGCATATAGAAAAACTGAAACGGACTGTAATATATGACAAATTGTTTAAAATTGGTTTGGGTTGATTAAGTTGCTACTAGGGTATAGTTTTTTTTATCTCCTTACATACTCGTGATACGGCCATGGCTTGATGTTTGTGTGTAAGTGCCAAGAAGGGCAAAAATGTCATGAACAGAGGATTTTTGCTGAGTTGTACGTGACTACTGTATTGAGGTCCTTCTTCGAAAGAAAGGAATCGAAAAGTGCCTATTTTGTTAATATTCCCTTTGGTTATTCTCTTTGATTGAAATATTTGGATTTATCGACGATGGAGATAAAAGTGACATGCTCTTTTCTTGCTACTCGAGCCGTGTAAGTAACCCACTCCATGTAAAGTTTTTGGGTCTGTATAAAAATTATCGACAGGGACAAGACCTTTGTTACAAAGAACTATGTCGATAGTTCATATATAGAGGGTGTGAATGGTTAGAGCGGTTGGAGTGGACATATCTGTGGCGGTTTAGTTCACTTTATTTGTAGGACGGATAACAAATCGCACCGATTCAACTCTGTTTGTACATAAAAACGGTATGTACTTGGTCTATAGTTTTTTTTGTTTTCTTTGAGACCGACCACTACGTACACAATTAGTAAATGGTACATAAAAAACGGTTCGATCTAGATATAATTTTATTTACTCACACCTAGAGTTTTCTTATAAAAGTGAAAAATATTTGATTATATCAATCTGCCTAGGCAGCAAACACCTATAAATCGTATAAATTGTGAATATTTATATAAGTGCTGAAATCAGGTGTTTGTTATTATTAAACTAAGTTATGCAGTTTTTAATGGTCGTAAATGCTACTAGATGGTCTTACAAAAATCGTTAATCAACTATCATTTAGTTTAGTTATATATATATATATATATATATATATATATATATATATATATATATATATATATATGTTTTTGGTGGGTAGTTATATATATATATTTTTTTGTTACAATATTTGTTTTCAAATTCTAGCAATACAATTTTTAATTTTAACTCTTTAATTTTATACATGCTTATGAAAATTAATGTAATGTTTTGAAATGGATCAAATGAATGTTTTCGTCTATTTTATCACTTTATTATTTTTAATGGATATATTGTCTAATTCTCGTATATGATATTCTTTTAATGTTTTAGTGGTGAGATTAAACTATATACAAATTTCAAAATATTAAAAAGGTTAATTTATGAATCATGGTTTTGTTTTTAGGGAATCATGATATTCATATTTATTTTCAAAAATTAAGATATAACAAAAGAAAAATATGAAAAAACATGTTACAAAACATAAATGGAATCGAATAATAGTTACAACCATGTGCAACAACAAAGAGAACCAAACTCTAGTAGTAATGTAGCTCCATAAGAAAAAATTGCATTCTCTATTAAAAACTGCATCATACTTCTTTCTATTAAACAATCCGATTTTTAAGAAAGATTAAAGAGAAATAAGATTAAATGTGTAGAAAATTTGAGGAGTAGTGAAGCAAATCATTGTTTAAGTTCATAATAAACTACATATGGTTCTTTTTTGTCCAAATATAATGGAGTAACATGATAGATGAGCAAAATATAAGGTGTCTTACACCTGTGATTTAGGATCCAGTCTAATCCAATAATTAAAATAACTAAAATTTTATATCTGAATCTGGATATTTTTAAATTATGATATTTAGGTTTAATTTGGATCCACTTATAAATATACATTTTTAAAAAAAGAAATGTGATCAAATCCCATAATAACTTGTGTTTTTAAACTATTCTAATAGTTATGTTTGAAATATTACTTATAAATAATCAGGTTGAAAATATGACATTTTTGTAGAATTTTATTTTTATATTTGGAATTGGTACTGCAATTTATTTCAATTTTTTATTATATAATAATTTTTAATTATTATGGATCAAAATCTTGATATCTAAGAAATTCTGGAATATCAGTTAAATAGTATTGTCACTCGTAGATTTCGTAGAAATTTCTTTAAACTTTGTAGAATTATGAAAGTGTTTATTATGTATATTACATTCAGATTATAAATTTGTTTCAATTAATTTCATGTGCATACATTTCTATAACTATTTAAGTATAATTAGCTAAAAAAAAACGTATATTTAGAAAGTTTAAGCTTTAAAATAGCCATGTGTGAACTTGTGAATGATTGCATGTGCATTAGTGAAGAGTAATTATATTAGCTTAGTCTAGACTTGCACACTAAGTCTTATGTATCATCACTAGACATATGTTGCTTAGTTGCCAACAAAGACAATTACGTGTCATATTGAGGATAAGTTCGTATATTATGTTATGTTTATCTTCTTATTGTGATAAGGATTAGCAGCCCGAAAGTGTATAGGATTAGGGCTTATTTTAGAGGTCATATCTCTTGTATAAATACACAAGTTCATACATCAATAAAGTCAAGTTGGTTCGATATCTAATTCTACATGGTATCAGAGCTAAAGATCTAACTAAAAACAACTTCAAAGTTTCTGTTCTTTGTTCAAAATTTTCTTTCTTGTGTGACAAGTAACGATGTCTCTTGAAGATTCATCATCGTCACGTCCTGCAGTGCAGCCACCGGATACATCAGTGGTGTCTCCTTATACCTTGTCAAGCTCCGACAATCCAGGGGCTATGATCTCATCGGTTGTGTTAACCGGTCCCAATTATAATGAATGGGCAACAGAGATGAAGAACGCACTCCAAGCTAAACGCAAAACTGGTTTCATCAACGGTTCAATTCCTAAACCACCTCCTAACGATTCGAAGTTCGAAGATTGGATGACAGTTAACTCCATGATCGTTGGTTGGATTAGGACTTCCATTGACTCCAAGGTGAAATCCACTGTCACGTTCATCGCTAATGCTCATCAATTGTGGAATGCCTTGAAGCAACGTTTCTCTGTTGGAAACAATGTTCGTCTTCATCAACTCAAAGCTCAAATCGCGACGTGTCGACAGGATGGTCAGCCCGTGGATGAGTATTTTGGCAGATTATCTTCCTTGTGGGAGGAATATTTAATCTACAAGCCTATCACCGTGTGTTCTTGTGGCTTGTGTACTTGTGGAGCAACGTCGGCTCCATCAAAGGACTGGGAAAACGAAAAGGTGCATCAGTTCGTCTTAAATCTTGATGAGTCTCGATTTGGTAGTCTATGTTCTTCTTTGATTGCCTTGGATCCTCTTCCTTCTCTTGAAGAGACTTATAGTCGTGTTATTAGAGAAGAGCAACGGTTGGCTTCTGGTCGACTCCGTGAACAAAAGGAGGAGGCTGTGGGCTTTCTTGCTCGTTCCGAGGTAAACAAATCCGATTCGGTTGTAGGAAAAGGTCGTGTCACCTGCTCTCATTGTGGTCGTACCGGTCACGAGAAACAAGGATGTTGGCAGCTCGTCGGCTTCCCGGACTGGTGGATTGAGCGAGCTGAAAAGAATAACGGTGGTCGTGGTTCCGGTGGCCGTGGTCGCGGTGGTCGTGGTTCAACCGGTAATGGTCG